CTTGACTGGAATACACGAATGAAAATAGCAGCTGGTGCAGCGAAAGGATTAGAGTATCTACATGATAAAGCCAGTCCTCCTGTTATATACCGTGATTTAAAATGCTCTAACATTTTGCTTGATGAGGGTTATCATCCCAAGTTGTCTGATTTTGGCTTGGCTAAGCTTGGTCCTGTAGGTGATAACACACATGTATCCACTAGGGTGATGGGTACATATGGATATTGTGCACCTGAATATGCAATGACAGGACAGTTGACACTAAAATCAGATATTTATAGCTTTGGAGTTGTTCTTTTAGAGCTTATCACTGGAAGAAGGGCGATTGACAATTCTAGAGCTGCAGGAGAGCACAATCTTGTTGCATGGGTAAGGACCTTGTCCTTCTTCTTTGTCCATCTTCGAATCCATTAGTCAAATCTTGTTTTCCTAAATGTTTAATGAATTTTCATCATTCATGATGCTCTTTTGGTAAAGATGACAACTTTTCAATACTTTATAGTGTTAAATGTTGATATTTATATCGTCCTGAGTTTAAAAAGGACCAGTCTCAGATATTTAGTTCTGTAGTTCACAACTAGATTATATGGCATTAACCATAATACCCATAACCTATTTCATTTTTTGATTTTACATTTCCATCTTATTACAACATTAGTTTCTCTTAAACATGATCTTCGGTTCCCTGTTCTGTGATTTTGATTGGATCTTGGGCAGGAAGTGTGATGTCGTTGTTGGCATCCAGTTTTCGATCCGCCCCTTGAGCTGGCTGCGACAGGGACCTTAATACACCTTGGTAACTTTGACTCTGTGGCTTGAACTAAGATGCAAGTTTTCTCACTAAACAGCATGCTCTGAACCAAGTTGCATCGCAAACTACAAGTTGGTTTATCAATTTATTGTGGTTTCTAATTGTTCAAAATTACTCTTGCTGATCATTTTAGTAAATCAAATCTCTTTTAAGCTTGACTCTTCATGACGATGGAGAAGTTTTTTTGCCTCTGGATCAAGAACCTCTGGGTTCCTCCTTTGCATCAAAGTGTGTAAATTTGCTCTGTTTGGATGCAGGCACGACCATTGTTCAAAGACAGAAGAAAATTCTCACAGGTGGCTGATCCAGTGCTTCAGGGTCAGTATCCTCCAAGGGGTTTATATCAGGCGCTTGCAGTTGCTGCAATGTGTGTGCAGGAGCAACCAGCTATGCGGCCCCTAATAGCCGATGTCGTTACAGCTCTTACATACCTTGCTTCACAAACTTTCAACCCCGACAACCAACTGAGTCAGAGCACCTCTCGCTTGGCCACACCGGGAACACCCCCTCGAACAAGAAGGGACATCGAGAGGAAGTCAGGATATTGAGAACAGCCAGCGGAAGAACCTAATGAGTATAAATGAGTCCATGTGACACTCTTCCAGGAGCTAATGGTGAGTGCCTACATCTTGCAGCAGAATGTACATTTTTTGTGGTCTCTTGGCTGGTTCCTTGATGACCGATGTCAATTCTCGATTTGCCAGGTTGGCCTTGCTCGATTCAGGACTAAGTTAATTTTGGGGAATTAGATTCTTTTGTTGTGGTATATGTAGTTTTGTGTCCTTGTATCTAAGTGCATGTACCAGACGGCAAGTCTCTTGATATTTCTTATTGTCTTGCTTAAGAATTTAGCAAATTGTGTTGTTCCCAGTGCCTTCATATACATACCTTGCTTTAGAATTCAGTAAAATTTGGGCCTGTGGTGGTGAAAACAGGAATTCATTATTGAAATTGTACAGGCATGAATCAGCTCAGCTGGCACATTATGAACAGCAATGTCATATGACTGCCAGCAGGCAAGTGGTGGCTTCCTCAGTGGGAATCGGTGTACTATCAGGCATAAATGGCATGAAGGCCACTAGTTGTTGCCTCAGCATTCTCAGGTGATCTGTACACCAGAAAGGCTGTTCACCTACTCCCAGAAGGTTCAGCCTTTTTCCTCAAGTTGCATTTTGCTTTATTGTCCTGCATGTGTTTAATCAAACTGTTTGTGTTCTTGCACTGCTGTTATCTACTATAGAAAGAGTAATGGCACCCTGTGTTCAAGTAAATGTGAGGTTATCATCATATCTAATTTGGACAGTTAATTGGATCCTTAATTTCTTTCATCTTACATCTCAATCATTTCATTGATGACAGTCACAGTTTTCAGTGTGGACTCCACCTCAAGAAAATGAATTTTTCATTTTATGTTTTGTTATTTTCTTTATTAATATAACTTATATAGGAAAAAAAGAGAGTACAGAATGTGGTCTCCCCTGATGAAAATAGGGGGATCAGAAGCTTTCAAACATGTCCAGTATGTGAGACCTTCTCTAGATCTTGTAATGTAAGCATGCAAAGGAAATTTATTGGGTGGTAGGACAGTACCACCTTTGCCAACTGGGTGGTCCTTCACCAATAGATGAAATTATCAAGATATTTGTGTCAATCCAGGTCTCAAATTACTGATATTAATTTTGAATAATCTTTTAGGATTATATTATATTAGAGGTTATCATTGATCTAAAATATTTAAGTCTAAACTAATAATACTACGCCCATTAGATTCCTTATAAGTCAATTTCTATGAGACTAAACTGGGATGTGACATAAAGGAAATGTTGTAATTGGACATGTTAGCAAGTTGCTGCACCTTTGTTTTTAAGTAGAAGCATCAGCCTTCAAGAGGAATGTGGATGCACATGATGTGTAATTAGCTTTCTCCATTCCTTCAATGCTCTGCTTTCTCTTCTATCTGTCCTTGTCTTGTCTTGCATTTTATCTTGAAACAAATCTTGGTGGACCTAACAATGGAGCTAAAAAAGATATATGAATTACTCTCTGTTGAGTGGATGAGCTGCAAGCAAGCTAAAACAGCTGGAAGTTGGTCCTCAAGAGACCTTCTTTTTGGTAGAGTAAGTTTGATAGTCAATTCTCATAGTTTCATGTGGCATGCTAACTGAGGATTTTAGTATAATGTATTGGCTAAACTCAAAAAAATTATTTCTATTTTCTAGTGATTTATGAAGCTCCTAAAAATAATAATGTTTTGGCCTCTTTCTAAATGGAATGGCATACATCTTTCAGCTCCATCAAGGCCAAATTGTTTTTGCAGTAACTTATATCTCATATACCTCACTGTCTCTGCAAAAAATCTAATTCTTTAATAGGTGCTGTGATTATTGCAAGATCTAAGTAGGTTTCACTGGTTTCCTCCTCAGTAGGTGGCCCATAGAATTTCAATGCAAGCAATGCCAGCAAAAGCAAGGCCTCACCAAACAAATCTCTTATCAATTCCATCCTCCAGATTCTGCCAATTGGATCACAGAAAAAGAAAAAGGCATTTTAGCTGGAGAAAAGTAAGCTGCATAAGTCAAGTAAAGATCTTGAAACAACAAGTAAAAAGAACAAGCATATCCTGTTGTTGACTGATGTATAGAAAGCATGATACCCTAATGGAATCTCTAAGGGGCTTAGCCTATAAAGCAGCTAAGCTCCATCTTCAAGGGTGGTTTAGGCAAATGATGGAGGACATAGTGCTTCAGATTTGACTGCAAAAGTTTGTCATTGAACCACATATAAAGACAAGGTAAAGAAGGTCAAATGACATAATCATGAACTCTCATGGATTGGGTTTTTCTATTTCCTTTTCTTTTTTTTGTAGTATTATGTATGTGTGTGATCTCTGTTCATTTTGCCACTGCTCATTAAAATGTAATAATACTTTTGAGTTCATGAAATTGCCAAGTGTTATTTCTATTACTGCGAAACAGTGATTATAAATTTCTGCTGAAGTTATATAATAGGAACATCTCATTCTGCAAATATAGCCAGTATAGCCTCTTAAGCATGTTAATGTAGGTGTGATTGTTGTTTACAGTTGATAGATAAGGAAGGGCGAAGTTGATGAAGAAACCAAACGCCGGGAAACAGATGAAATGAGTCCATAAACTTGCATCGAGGAAGATGGAATTCCTGATGGGTTTGGATGTGAAGAGCCAAATGGTTCTCGCAGACATCTCCCTGATGGTTGCTGCTGCAACAATGGCGATTTGGTGGACATCATTAGGAGGCATTCGATCATCATTTTGTTGATGCTGGCAGCTGCTGCAAAATGCATGGCTTCCCCAAGTCTCTCGAGTACAACTGAACCAGTTCAAGCTCAGAAGCTATCCGCACTGCTCTGCCATTTACGGCCGGCTTATTGTGCTTAAGCGGAGATGTGTCTCAGACAAGCATTCAAGTTGTGCCGCTGCTTGGTTGACCTTCCATCAATCTGCACCAGTGTCTGCTTCACGGCCTTCTTTCTCACAAAGGTGAGAAGATTGCCTGTTCTACACAGTCGAACCACATCTGTAGTAAGTTCTATGGCTTGCCCATCTGCAAAAGAGATACCATCAACAGATATCTGTGTCTCATTTTTGGGTGTATAAGATTGATTCTGGGGCACGCAATCACGAGAAAACAGCTATTATTTCAGCTGGAGGAACAGCTCCCTCACATAACTTGGTCAATCTGGACACAGAAAAAGCCTCACCTAACGCAGCAGGAGCTCCACGAAGAAACGAAGAGAAGAGAGAGAGAGAGAGCGAGGCATAAAAGTAGCCAATAAAACAGGGGGCAGTTTTGGGCCCACCCGTCACGCGTTTACTCGGTCAAACCTCCGGCGTCCTCCCTCCATTATTTTGTTCTGTGCCTTCGCCGATCTTATTATTATTATTATTATTATTATTATTATTATTATTATTATTATTATTATTATTATTATTGTAGATAAAAGAATAAATAAAATAAACTATATATATATATATATATATATATATATATAAAAGCTTGAAGTAACTATATATAATATTGGGTTTTGAAATAAATAAAGAATTAAGATAAAAGAAACAAACGGGAATAACAGATTTTAGTTATTTAATAGTCTAAAGGAAAAGAAAATAAAAATAAAAATAAAAATTAGAAATAGTTGTTGCCCTCACATCAGCCTCCTCGAGAGGGAAAACCCCACCGCCGATCCCAACGCGGGCTCGCGGAAACCCACCCCCTCCCTCTTCCCCCCTTCCTTTCGCTTTCCTCATCGCCCGCCACCACCCACCCACCACGAAACCCTCAGCATTGCGGTCCCCCCATCGAGATCGGTGACTCCCCATATCCATCGAGACCGGTCGGAGCCTGGGGAGTTCCAATCGGAGTGCGTGGTTGTTGTATCGGCTGACGGCGCGGATGAGAGGTGGATGATCGGATCCTCCGCGCTGATGAAGATCGTGAGCCCTTGCTGGAAGCCAGTGGATGGGAGGGGCGGCCGCCACGGCGGGTCCGCTGCCCGCGCCGACGGCCTTCTATGGTACAAGGATCTCGGCCGCCACGCCGTCGGGGAATTCTCCATGGCGGTGGTGCAGGCGAACAACCTCTTGGAGGACGGGAGCCAGATCGAGTCCGGGCCGCTGAGTTGGAACGAGGCGCCCCACGGCACGTTCGTCGGGGTCTACGACGGGCACGGCGGTCCGGAGGCGTCCCGATACATCACGCAGCATTTGTTCCCGAACCTCAAAAGTAAGCCTTTCTTTTTATGTGTAATCACGTGTCGATGTATTTCTCATATCTCATTTATCCGTTGACTTGGATTTCGTTTCATGTGTTCTTCGTTCGGATCGTGTCGTCGGTATCTTATAAATGATATGGACATTTTCCTCATGGATTGATCTTTTGTGTTGTCAGTTTCACAAAATGCTGATCCAAAATCCATTTCTTTAAATATTGGAACTTGTGTGTCTGTTATTATTGAATCCTATATACGTCATATTGCCTGTATCTGTGTGTCTGCTTTATCATCTTCTGATTGTTATATTTCATAACATAATTAGTTTTTTCTGAGACAACTGCCACTTATTGGCATTTATTCTGCAGTCTTTTATCAGGTAATTCCAAGCTCATCATTCCATTAGAAGATTCAGGTTTGGAATATAGCTTAAATTTTTGCTATTTGGGATCAAAAGATTCACAACTCTTATTCACTTCTTATTCAGATATTTCTACTATCTTATGATTTATGGCATCAAGATATGCTTGTGTAGCCTTTTTTTTCCATTTTTGTAATGGTGTATACGATATGCAGAATTTGCTTCAGAACAAGAAGGCATGTCAGTAGATGTCATAAGGAAAGCATACTCAGCAACGGAAGAGGGCTTTATCTCTCTTGTGAGAAAGCAGTGGCTCAGTAAGCCACAGATGGCCTCCGTCGGTTCATGCTGTTTGACTGGTGTCATATCTGGGGGGATGCTTTATGTCGCAAATGTTGGAGATTCCCGTGCAGTGCTAGGGAGATTTGATAGAGGTATTAGAGAGGTAACAGCAGTACAAATGTGCGCTGAGCACAATGCGAGTGTTGAATCTGTGAGGGAGGAACTGTGTTCGCTGCATCCTGATGACCCACAGATTGTGGTTTTAAAGCACAAGGTTTGGAGGGTCAAAGGCCTTATACAGGTAATCCATTTTCTATAACTAGTATGGTCATTAGTGAGTTGGAGTAAATTCATGTGCATAGTAAATGCTTCTAGAAATCTTTGTTTTAGTATCTTGGTATAACAATATGCACTTTGAATAACTTTTATATGTTACACTCTAGTCATCCTTGTATGCTTGTTACAGTTTACTTCAAATGGCAATGTAGCTGCAAGGAGAGAAGGATGGTTTTTTGAGATTTTCTTTTGCATGAAGCTTTTCAAGAACATTGAAAGTTTTTTCTTGGGCTATAATTGAAACATTAATTTGATCATTACATACCTTCATATACATTAGAATATGAATGCATATGAATGCCTTCTCTGGTAAAATTGGTCTGCATATTACTTTCATGCAGATCTTGCCCACACATTGTTGTGAGAAGTGGAGGATAGATTATGTTTCAGCCACTTTCATGCTTGTTTAGTCTTTCTTTGTTATTATGTTTTGATTTTATTGCTTGCTTTTTAATGCTTAGAAGAAGTACCAGCCATACAAGAAATTATTCAACAATAAAATTTTCCAGTTTCTTCTTTTGGGCAAATAGTTTGACAAAATGGAATCTAAGTTATTTTATATTTATTTATCTGAAAGTATTTTATCTGAATCATCCAGTTACTCTGTTTCTTATTCTTATGATTCAAACAAGTATTGTTCTTTTTCCAACCATCATTTGTTTTTCTCAATGTGTTCTCCTTTAGACATAAAAAATCTCTTAGAACCCATGTAGCCATGTATGAGATGAGAAATTGCCAGATAATAAGCACATTACATTTCTTCCAAATTAAAATATCAGAATTAGTGTTGAAGGTTGAGCAAATTCTTATAAGTTTATTTGAGCAGCCAAACATTTACAAGTGCAATTTGATAGTGGTCATTGAGATGTTGAATCATAGCTGTTGATACCAAATTATTTTCACTGGTAACTTTATTTATGATCACCTAGAAAGAAATTTTATTCTACTGGATATCAAGGCTCAGTACTGTATGGCAAGATTCTCAATTTCGATGTGTACCACCCTATATATCGATCCGATTGGATACCGGTACGTGGACCGTCCTCTACTGGGCAGTACCAGTGTTTTGATCGGTATCGAGGCGTGCCGACCCGTATCGAGGTGTACCGATCGGTATCGCCCCGGATTTTGACCTTTACCGAGGCATACCGATCGGTACGCCCTGACGTGATAGGTGAAGGTATTTTTAAGGTTTTATGGTATACCATCGGTATGCCCTAGTGTACAGACGGTATATACCGGTACGTCGATGCAGACCGGTATTCAAAACCCTGCTGTATGGCACATTTAGAATTTGGATGCACAATGGAATGCCTAAAGTGGATGCTTTTTTTTCTTTATATTTTCTTCGAGCATGTCAATGCATATTTTTGTTTGATTTTTTGTAAAATGTTTACATAGATCACATGTATAACTTTTAGATGAGTATTTGTGTGATTGGTTTCTGTAGCTTGGACCAGACTGAGAATTGCAGGTTAGATGACTTTGCTTTCTTTTCAAGCATGGGTACTGGTGTTAGCATTTGACTTTTTTGTCCCAATTCTGTGCATAAGGATGGCAACATAATATTATAATGCATGCATATTTCAAGTGTTATATATTCTGTGAAACAGCATAGATGTATCTTATGGACCATTTGAAGTTGTTGTGCACATGTGATATCAAATATATATTGTAGGACTTTAACATTTTGTGCTTTCAAATCTTTGATAATTTGTAGTTTATCTAGGAATTCTTAAGATTAGTTCTGAAATCTCTCTTTTTTTACTTGATCCTGAAGGTGTTATTGTAACGTGTGGTGTTTTTTATATGATGACGGTTTCTGTCAGTTGCAGTTCCTCTTGTTTGGCTTGCATTACAAGTAGAAATTTGGCATTTGCAAATATTGGACTGTGGTTATAATTATTTTCTGGCTTTTGCTATGCTTTATTTCTGCAGGTCTCAAGATCTATCGGAGATGCTTATTTGAAAGATGCAGAGTTCAACAGGGAGCCATTGCTATCGAAATTTCGGCTTCCTGAACCATTCCAAAAACCGATCCTTAGTGCTGAGCCATCAGTAGTGACACATAAACTCTGTCCTGAAGATCAATATTTGATTTTCGCGTCAGATGGTCTATGGGAGCATTTGAGTAATCAAGAAGCTGTGGATATGATTCACAACTCACCTCGAAGTGTAAGATGCCTTTCCTTTTTCCAGATTCTCTTTTCTGAATGGTGAAGGATGCCTCTCTATGCTTTAAATTTTTTAAGCATTTTTATTTAACCTATACATTCCATTATTTTTTGGAAACCTTTGTACATCTATCTGATTAGGATTAAATCATGGCAGTGAATATACATACTGCAGCGGTAGGTATCAAATTGTCAATAACTGATAAATAAGTCCTTCTTAAGGACTTTTCTATTTTAAATTGCTTGGCATTACAGATGCATATATTAGTTAATAGCTTCCAATTCATTCAGTGAATATGATTTTTTAATCATACTTCAGCATTCTGTTCTGTAAGTTTCTTATACTTGTAGTATCAACAGAGTCACAACCTGTGACTTCAAAATTCTGTTAGTTTCATTAGCTCCTAATCTTTATTATCAGAGTTTTGCTCAGAATTTACAGTCTCATGCTTAAGGTTCAGCTTTCTGTCTGCTATCAATATTCAAATATAAAACCAGCAGTCATCTCCTGGCGCTTAATAATCTTTCAGGGTATAGCAAGAAGACTTGTCAAAGCTGCACTTAAAGAGGCAGCAAAGAAAAGAGAGATGAGGTACTCTGACCTGAAAAAGATTGATCGCGGAATCAGGAGACATTTTCATGATGATATAACTGTCATAGTTGTATTTCTTGATCCCACCATGATAAGTAAGAACTTCTACCATGGTCCTGTACTTTCACTAAAAGGAGCTGGTGTCCCTGTCTAAGCCGATTCCGTCCAGAGCTCCTAGATGCTTCATCCAGTGCTTCATTGGACATGATTCAGAATCTTCTCTTTACTAGCTTGGACTGTGGTTTCAGCTGTCAGCAAAGCACACAAAGTGCAAAGGATAGAATCCTAGGAGGAAGATGTTTCTCTAACATGACAATCTGCAATTTTGCACTGGAAATAGATACAATTAGCAAATATGAAACCTTCTTTGCCTTGACAGTGGAAGTCTGGTCTCATTGTGTCCAAAACTCGAAATCTTGTTCCAAGTTACAGCCTCTGGACTGCAGGTACATGGATTTGAGTGGTCTATAATTTGCATATCGTGAACATTATCTTGCATGCTTAGCCATCATTTTGCTCTTTGCTTTCGCAGTTGGCTGTGTCCAGCTTCCAATCTTTTTCTCTCTTGTGGAAGTGTCTGTTTGAGGGTGAGAAGATGAAAGCTGGATCCAGTTGATTCTCTGGTTTTATTTGTTAAATCCGCCAATTGTATTTCTATCCCATTTATGATTCCCGATTATGTATCCTATCTCTCGAATGCATAAATGTATTATTTGAACATATAGGATTTTTATGCTGCTGCATCAGAAAATTTCCATCAATCTCATTCTAATTCACCCAAATTAGACCTACAATTGAAACTTCTCTAGGCTTGTACATTTTTGGAACTAAAATGAGTTTTCGTCCACTGGTGTGGAAGGATTCTTTGTAAACTATTATACATGTTCATAATAGACCAGTCTTATGTAGTTTGATAGTAAATTCCTGAGATCAAATTTATTCAAAATAATTACCCAAATGTAGAATTAATGTAAGCAATTTAACATACAACGAGATGTGTTTATAACTCAAGAATTAATTATTAGAACGTAAAGAAACAATTTACCATTGGGAGATTTACATCAATTTTAGAATGATATGTACTCGATCAAAATCTCGACAAGGCGATTCCAATATTACAAATGACAGCATCTTTGCTAACTACGATCGAGGCCTAATACGTTCCCCCATATTTGACATCGACTTTGGAAAGCAGATGTCAGCGCAGTGTCAGTTTCGTTAATCTTGCAATAACGATGAATAATTGGAATCGGTCATCTCTAACTTGGTAGTGGCGGTTTCGTTAATCTAACTATAAGGATGGATTATTTCGTAATAGATGCCCAAGGGAGTCGTCGCTATTATTTCGTTGTAGTTATTACCACACTCCACCTTTTTCTCTTTATATATATATATATATTTATTTATTTCACGGCCGACCATTCCTAAGTATCTCCTCGAAGTCTCTCCTGCTCCCTGTGATCGCCGCTTGAAGGATCCGAGAGGTATGAGATTGATTCCTCACTCACTCACCCACCCTGGTGATTTCTTGCGGAGCTTTGTGCTTCATGTGTGAGATCGGCGCTAAAGATTGATTTTGTTTTCTTTCTCTCTCTCTCTCTCTCCTCATCCTGATCGGAAGAGTTTGGTTCTTGTGGTTGAAAATGGCGTAGAAAGTTGATGCCTTTAGCTGGGATCTGAGTTAGAAATTGTTTGTTTACTTGACCGAAGTGGTTGCATCTCTGGTTCTTTTGGCAAGAGTTAAATTGATTTTGACCTGATCTCTCTTTTTGTAGTCTTTTTGGGTATTGCTTTAATATCTTTGAAGAAAACATCAGATTTTTGAAAGGATAATCTAAATTTTAGGTGTGGACTTCATGCGGTTCGCCTTTTGATTATAATTTGTTAATGGGATCGATTTGTTCCAGAATTTAGCAGTTTGGTTGGGAGAACTTAAGCTTAGTTCCCTTCTTTCTGAAAGATTTTGCATCTTTTGTGCCCCACCATGTTATGACACATGTTAGTGCGGTTAGGAAACCGTGATTATTGCTCTTTGCTTTCTGTCTTCTTTCGTTCCGTCACTTTTGTCATATTTTCGCTCTTTAACTAACTTGATAGGGTTCTATGGTCAATTGTGGTTTAAATTGTCTTGGTTTCCTTCTTTACACTAGAATAAGGTGTTTCTGTAATTTTTCCTTTTCATCGTTGTAGTCAGTTGTTAGATCCATATATTTATAGTGTTCTTCTTTTCATTTGAAGCTTTCAGATTGATGAGTTTTTCTTTACATATTGCAACTGCAATTATTGGAGGTTAATAAAATTATGATAGCATTTTTAGATAATAATTTGTGTTATGAATGGAACCAAGTGTGGGCTCATAATATCATTCTTAGCCTATGGTGGTTCGAGCACTCTAATATCAGCTAAGGACTAAGAATTAGTTGCTATATAACTTGCTATATGCTAGAAATATCACTATTATTTCGTATTGAATATTGAGAGAGTTTGCTTGAAAAGAACAGTCAAGATTGTAGCTAATTGGTTATTGTTTAAAGTGCTTTAAAAGATTAAGTTGCAAAAAAAAATGATATCCTTTGTTCAGTATTAAATTTGCTTATAATCATAATCTCTTCGAAATTTGAAAAATATCAGATTGCAGGCGTGATTACCACAACTGGTAAATCTGCAAAGATACTAGAAAAAAATTATTGAAACTCAATTTCTTGGTTCTTTCGGTTTTGTGAATAGTCATGGATTAACATTGTTTGATTCCTTTAGCTTTAAATAATTGCTACAGGCACAAATGAATTTTAGGAAATCAAGTAAGTTGATGACTTAATCAATTGGAAGTTTTCCGAGATCTGAATTTTAATTTGTTCATACACCTTATCTTTTAGGTCTAAGTTGAGAAGCACCACAAGAAGGTACTTTTTATATTTCTTTCTCAACATCTCTCACTATTTAATTTGCAGGGTGTTGGGGTATCGGACTGATGGCTCTAAACCAAACCACAAAGATTGCCCTTGCTGTGGCATTTTTTGGGTCACTGTCCTTTATATTTGGTGTAATTGCTGAAAACAAAAAGGTTCCTTTTCCTTACCTTTTTTTCTTATATTTAACATATACTGTGAAGATGAATATCAACCTAGTTCGGGGCACCTATTCCCTTGCTTTTATCAATTCCTTTACTGAAAAGAAAATCTTTTGACTGTTGATCTTCCAAATTACATAGCCCAGAGTTGAAAATTAAGACATGTATATATATATATGTGTGTGTGCATAAATACACACGTATCTATATCACTGGTCCAATCATTGCTTACATCATAGATAGAGGAAGCAAATTAGATTTTCTGAGATTACTTATATAGTTAGAGTTGGAAATTAAGACTGGTTCTATGCACACATTTGTACACTTTAAATATGTATGTATACATAACATACACACAACTATAATCACAACTTAACAGTGTGGAGAGAGGAAGCGAGTTGGGTTTTTTGAGGTTAATTAATTCTCACAAGACTCTATACTTTTTCTGCTCCGATCAACTGATACATCAAAAGTAATTTTATAGTTAAGGTAAAGAGTAATTTTATAGTTTGCTGTTGACATGCATCTGGTGGTTGCTTGTAACCCTACAACAAGTCCATGCAGAAAAAACCAGTGTATTGGAACAAACACATTTTCAGTTTTTTTTTTTTTTTAAATTTTGGCTTGTACTTTTTTAATTAAAATTTATGTTTGCCTACATATTTTATTAGTAACTTCAATCACGATTATTATTTTGGTTGAGTATTTGCTTTGCAGCCACCTTATGGAACTCCGATTAAGGGAAAGGATGTTGTCATCTGCAAGTTCCCGAGTGATCCAACAGTTGCTTTGGGAAGTTTATCTGTTGTGACTCTCTTTCTAGCTGCTGTTATAGGGCACATTGCTGTGTATTATCCGTACAAAGGCAAGACAGTTCCCAATCAAGCTTTGTTCTGCAGTACTACATTGGTTGTATTCTTCATGATTGCAGAGTAAGATCTTTTTATCTCTTTCTGAGGTGACTTACTTTTCCATGCACTACTGGTCAACTTTGTTGATAAAAACTTAAAATACGGAATCTGAATGTGAAATATTAGTGATATTTATGCATGAGGAAGTCATACCATGATTTTAGGAAGATTAAGGTTTATGTAATCACACTTTTGATGGCTTATTTCGGCATCAGTTGTTGCACTCTGTGTACATATAAGATGCTACTGGTTGTATGGGTTCATCTTTGTTGCTGCATCTGATGGTTGCTTTTCTTGTTTGCTGTTGAGCTAATGGAGATAAATTCTTTCAGGAGTCTTGTAATTTATTGTTTTTTAATTGGCTGATTTGTTTATCGTTTGGTTGTGTTTTATGTTTCACAACATTGTCTTCTCGGAACATAATATTGTTCATGACCTTTTGAGGGATTGTCATTCATGATTTTATACTCCTAACCTTCTTGTTAGCTATTAGATATTGCCCAGCCGTCGTTATGACTTTCTCTGATATGCAAATGTTCTTGCTTCAGGGTCGTCTCAATTCTTGCACTGGGGATGATGATGTGGGCTACCATCACAGAAGGCCTTTCCCGTTCACGCAATGTTCACCATGATCTTGATACAGAGTGTGCTACTGCCAAGACCGGTCTCTTTGGTGGTGCGGCTTTCCTCGCCCTCGATGCATCCCTCTTTTGGCTTGTCTGCCAGATGCTGACGCTAAATGCAAGAGCTGATTACCTGGACGAGGATGATCCAAAGGGAGAATACGGACAGGTCTATGCAACTGAATTTGATTCCAATGGAGCTGGGCATCCAGCACCCAAGGTGTGAAGTGTGAACCAGAAGTATATATATACAGAATTAGACAGCAGTGTGAGCACTTGTGTTTGGTTTGCAGCTCTTTATCATTTATGTCAGAGTCCTGGAACTTGTATTTTCATATGGATCAGTATCAGTTCATGATGGTCTTTCCAAGATTTGGTTAGATAATTGTTGTCCCATCTGCTGGAATCATGTACTTCCTAGATTGGGACATGAACTGTTTCAAGGCAGTACTTCCTTGCAATATAGTTTGGATTTACCCGGTAGTGTAATGGGTATTGACAGTGCCTATTCATCTAAGAAGTGCGTGTGTGACGTAGCTGAGTATTTGCTAACATGTTGCGATCAGTAGCAGTTGTGATTTCGTTGTCCAGATGGGAGAAGAATTGCTCGAGATAGCCGGACCCGATTTGATTCAAACTGAAATCGAATAGGAATCAGATCGGATCAATGGTTCAATTGCTTCCAATAAGAATTAGGTGATTCAAATCAGATCGATTGTTCAATGAACCGGAGTGATTCGGTTCAGTTTCAATTCTAATTTTCAAACAAAAATCGGAAATCGGATGTTTCGGTTTGGTTTCAAACAAATAAAAAAATTTAAAAAATAAAAATCTTTATAAATGATGATTTTTTAATACAAATATAATCAATAACCTAAAACATGCTAAATATATTAAGAATATTTTAGTTATTTTTTAATATTATTTAAAAAATAAAAAAATATATTATATATATATATATATAGGAAAATAAAAGCGTAGAAGCCTCGCACGAGTTATCCGCTCATCATACCGTTTTTCTACAGCGTCATCCAGCCGTTGGTAAAACCAAGAGGCATCACAACCGTCAAAACAGACAGAGGTCAGTACATCTATATATACCCTCGACGGGGCCCCTAAGAGCCCCAAGCGTGATCTAGAAGCTTAGGGTTTTCGAGGTGCCATCCGACCCGAGGTGAGTCTCTCTCTCGAGCCCGTCGGTCTTATTATCTCGCTGCTTATTTCTCTATTGATTCTCTCTCGTGTTCTTGAAATCATCGATCTTGAGCCTTTTTTTTTTATATATTTTTCTTTGCCAGAATCGTAAAGATATAAAGGTTTCCTTTTGCTCGATTGTTATTCGTGTCTTTAGGAAATCTTGATCAGTCTATAGTCTTGAGTTGGGTTGGGTTTTGTTGATTGTTCTTTTTGTCAAAGATCAATTCGTGTGGGTTTGATAGGCCGGGATGAAAAAGAATGATAATGCTATTTGACTCTGCCTCGATCCATAAACAATTATCTTATTCCGAGGTTTTTTTGGTTGAGATAATGCGGCAACAGTATCAGATGGTTGGGTATTTATATATCGATCTTCTTCTAGAAGATCAATTCATGTGGATTTGATAGGTGGCATTCTATTTTTATATATAAAAGGCCGATAATAGAAGATGGATTTTGTACATCTTGTCAAAGTTCAGTCAATGTGGAACTGCAAGGAGAAAAGATGGTTGGTCTTTTAGACATCTTATTTGCTCAGTTCATGCTGAACATGTGAGGATAAAAAATTGTAGGTTTTTGTCCAAGTGCCTATGGAATAGATTAGTACCACTTGTAAAATTAGTTTTACAATTCTTTGTTTCTTTTAGCCCTTTCATTTATTCAGTAGGTAGATTTGTGCCTCTATATACCTAGGAATGCTTGATTCTATAAACAGCTAAATATTTTAACAAAGTTTTTCCATCTATTTCTTTGAGGAGGTTGTTCACTTCATTTTAAGGAAGCTTCTTTTCTACTCTTTTTAAGTCACTTAGTCTTGAAAAAAATAATTGGCAATATTATTAGGTAGCTTGCTATTGACCAAAGTATCTCAAGTGATGTCATGCTTCTGTTGGCATATTGATCACCTTTCTCCTTTAACAATATACATACATATATATGTATATATGTACATATATATGAATGTATATACATATATATAATTTAACTATTTGATAGGCTTGCAACTTATAGAGATTAATTACAGAAACTTTAATAGCCTATCATATATCGTGACAATGACTATATATGTAAATTCACACACTAGGATGGCATGTCTAAGCACCTGTTTTAGCCATAGAAAAGAAAAGGCATATTTAGGAGGAGTATAGAGACTATAAATGTGTTATTGTTAAAAGTAAGATGCTCAGTTTGATTGGATCTGCTTCAAGTACATATTTTATATCAGTCTCTTGATCCATTGAAATTGCATGTTGATTATATTTATTTGTTGCAGTACGAAGATGCCTCGTTATGATGATCGCTATGGTAGCACACGTTTATATGTCGGTCGAATATCATATCGCACTCGTGCCCGTGATCTTGAAGATCTCTTCAGCAGATATGGAAGGTAATATGTTATAGAAAAATAAATGATTATGTGATGCCATTGAAAAGGCTAATTGTTGCTTGTTGTGTTGCTTAAAAGCATTGTTGAGATGGGTAGTATTTACATTTTTTTTTACTTGTTGTCTTTTCAGTATTTTCACTCTTGTTCTGTGAATTTAAAGATGCATAAAACCTGATGTTTAAACAATTACCATTATTTTGTGCTGCTCTGCCTTGAAGATGAATTATGAAAACCTCTTGTATCTACCTTAAATCTAACAGTCTATTATTCCTATGATGCTATACCTTTTACACTCATTTTCAGATTAAAGTATTTGGATTCTTCTTTTGGTCATCCGTACCTTTTTGTTTTTGACATTTTTTTTCATTCCAATTAGAGTAATTCAGGCTGGGTGGTGGGATGTCTTTTCAAAGTGCAGTGAGAAAGGCTATGTGCATTCTTATTCATAGTGTGTCTGAAAACATTAAACCCCAGGACATGTGTGTTTTAACTTGAATGATCTTGTTGAAGGTTTTTGGGGTTTTTGCCCAAACTGGAGGTCTTTGGTTGGAAGGTGCCCTTGGTGGATTTGGTGGCTATCTTTCCAAGTTTATAGGAGCCTTTGGCGATTCTTTCTGTAATGTTATTGCATGTTTTTGTGGAAATCACATCATCAAATGGTGTCTATTTCGTCTTCTGAGGGCTGAAGTATCATCTCTTTCAGTATTTATGTCCTGATGGCCTTACTCTTTCTGGCAACAATTTCCGCAGAGTACGAAATGTGGATTTGAAGCATGACTTCGCCTTTGTTGTATGTTCATCTCTACTACCCTTCCTAAACTTTGTATTTTTTTAATTGTGTTGCTGAAGTCAATGAAATATGTTTATACTAGCCTAACACGATTGTTAAATATCAGTCTACCTTTGTATATATATGTGTACATATATTTTTTCTGTGGTTTCCATTTTTTAGGAATTCAGTGATTCTCGTGATGCTGATGATGCAAGATACAGTCTAGATGGGCGAGAATTTGATGGAAGTCGTATTATTGTGGAATTTGCAAGGGGGGTAAGAATATTGTTTAATGTCATTGGTTTTGCAATTCATGTATCATTTTCATTTGATTTTATTTATTTTAAATAAGAGGGCACTCTAACTCTTAAACTCTTAAATGTTGCATCATGGATGAAGGGTCCTCGTGGCTCTGGAGGTTCTCGTGAATATCTCGGAAGAGGACCACCTCCTGGATCTGGCCGTTGCTTTAATTGTGGAATTGATGGCCATTGGGCACGAGACTGTAAAGCAGGAGACTGGAAAAACAAGTGTTATCGCTGTGGAGAGAGAGGACATATAGAAAGAAATTGCCAGAATAGTCCTAAAAAACTCAGGTCATGAAAAGTATTCATTTATTTTACTGCCATAGTGATGGAGATACTTCACATGCTTTTTTCCTAGTTGACAAATAAGTGACACTTGTTCGTATATCAGACGCGGCCGGAGTTATTCACGTTCAACTTCTCCTCGTCGTGGTAGGAGCCGGAGCAGGAGTCAAAGTTATAGCCGAAGCCGCAGTTACAGGTACTGGTACAATTTGTTGGTTATCAAATTGATGTTGTATTACCTTGAAGAATTAAAATGGAACGTAGTAGTTATTTAGATGGCAGCTGCAATGATTTAATTTTTTAAAAAAATTATATTATCACTTTACTGTTTAAGATGCAGTTGGGATATTTGTTGCTACTGGAGACAATTTTCAAGACTATATGGAAACATAGTGATATTTACACCTTCTAGTCCACTTGCTTTATTTTTTATTCCTTATTCACTTTCTACTTACCTCTGATATCAACAGTTATCTATTAGGTTGCTTAAAATTTCTCCTTTTCTGGGTTGGGAGTGGTGTGGTGAGCATAGTGTTTGCATATTTTAATGTGAACCTGAATTGTTTTTGCCTGGTATTTTTGGATCTATACACCTGGTCCTTTGTTAACCAAATTTATGTTTGTTTCCATTAAGCCACATTAGTGCAGTAAAGATTTTGGTGCTTGTAAGTAATGTAAGATTTCACTTGATTTTCTCCTCACACGATTGTTTTTAAGCCTTTTCAAGTGTTTTGTCTCATAGAACAAGAAAACATTACTAGACCTGCAATGTCAATATCTATGTACTTCTTGGACACAGGTTCATGGTTACCATAATTTAAAATCTTAGGAACTTAGCTAGGCTTTGAAACAAGCCAAATTGAGTTGACGTGAGAACTTACTGAAGTTCAAAGTTCTTAATTTATTTTAGATTTTACTGCTCAATATATAGTTGTTTAGTAAGAAGGTCGATAGAGTATAATGTGCATCTGAGGAAGGAACTGTTGTTCATTATAATGCAGGAATTGGTGCTTGCATAATTCCATCAATTATCAGACAATTGGTTATCATTTAATATTCTACAGATGGCAATATAGGCATGCGCTTGTGTTAAGTGTTCACATTGTCATATGGTTTTCTTTCTTCTTAAATGTGCTTAATCTACAAAACTATTGTAGTCAGATTTCAAGTTCTGGTTTTGTGTCCTAGTCAGCTCAAAGATTAGCTTAGTAATTACCTTGTCATGATCTGGCCCGATAGAATAATTGACCCATCAACATGTTTAGCATGAATGGCCTACCCAAAATGTTTAAGTCCAAGGTAAAGTTAATGCTAGTCATGAAGCTTAGCCTTATGCCATTTCCAACATTAGACTAAATTGAGTGTTATTATTTTCTCACTTAAGGGCTTGACCTTCTCATCAAGGATTAACATAGTTCAAAATTAAAACTTAGTATGTGCATTAGAGGGCTGTAGGCCTGTGGTGGCTCCACTTCACGATATATGCATAGGCAAAATTTTCTTTTCTGCTACTTGAGCCTCTCGATATACTCAATCGTTGGATGGCTTTGATGTTATTTGTCATAAATAATTGACCCATTAATTTGTTAAGTCTGAACTATGCCCAAAATATATCTAAGCTCAGCTTAAATGAAGTATACCTATCAAGTAGACCATTAAGTATTATTTTACATCCGAAAAATGGGGGTGTTACACACCTGTCCCTTACTAATCCATTTCTATGAAAAAGCAACATAAATTTGAAACAAAGAAGGGGAAAAAAAAGAAAACCTTTTTTGCTGACATCTGCATTTCACCTCCTTTGCTGGCATCCTAAACTGCTTTGGGAAACCACCATCTATGAGCAGTACCTGCTTTGTGGTGCTTGTGGCATCCTAAGCTGCTTTGGGATACCACCATCTATATAAGCAGTACCTACTTTGCGGTGCTTGTGGCATCCTAAGCTGCTTTGGGAAACCACCATCTAAATGAGCAGTACTTACTTTGTGGTGCTTGTGGCACTCCATTCCTGCATGATTGAAGTGGACTATCGGTAGCATGGTTGGAATGTGGTGGGACTTGGGATTCAGATGGTGACAAGTGCCATGATATCAACATCCACCTCTTAAGGTAACCTTAAATCCCAATGAAATAATGAGTTTCTAATCAATTCAATTTGAGTTTTGTTTGAGTTCAGTGAACTTTGAAGCAGTGATGTGGTGAAAGATATTGGAATCCAAAACATGGTAACAAAGCACATTTTCATCCATGATTTTCGATATGCTATTTCCCACAAAATGTTAAAGTAGAACATGCTTTTGTTGGAATTGCACATCGTGTCTTATCTAATTTTCATGTAATATTAGATGCTTTATTATGTAGGTAATTTTCCTAATCAAACAGTTTAGATCTTGAACCATATGTTGCTCCTTGTTACATCTGTTATCTGTTATGTTGGGTATACTTTATTAGCACTTGCTCTGTTTCTAGTCGATCAAGATCTCCTGTGAGAGATGGACGTGGCCGAGACCGCGAAGTTCGCAGATCAAGGAGTCCCGAATACAGCAGGAGCCCACGGAAGAGCCCGAGGAGGAGCCCTCCACCATCAGAGGACAGGAAGCGCAGCCCCTCACCTGACGGCAGCAGGAGCCCGAGAGACAGGATGAGCCCTCCACCAAAGGAAGAAGCCGAGCAATTGCGATCGGATCATGGTCAGAGCCCTCCAAGGGAGAACAGCAAGAGCCCCATGAGTCAAGAAAGGGAGAGCCCTCGGAATGGGAGGTACAGGAGCCCAGCAGCCAATGGGGGAAGCCCTAGCCCTAACTCTAACCCGAGCCCCCGGGACTACGAGGAAGACAATAATCGCCACGCTTCACCCAGGGGCAGCGAGTCTCCTCGAAGCTAACTTTGATCTCTGACAGTCGAACAGAACCTTCAAGGTACATTTGTGGGATGCTAAAGTTTGAGTGAGTTATGCTGGATTTTGCAAAAAGATGTCGTTAATTAGGGTGTAATCTTTTTGTTTTAGCAGACCTGGAACATTGTTATTTTTAGAATCATGGTTGTATCTCGTCGTGATTGAGAGGCCGCACCAACATGGCTCTTACAAAGTTCTTCGAGATGCTTGCTCCTCTGTTTGACGCTAAATGGTCTATCTGGTAAGGCGTCTTAAAATATGTTATGATGTAGTGTCAATAATGAATAATTCATTAGTCAATGGAGCAACTGCGGAAGTGCCATAGAGTTTGCGTTCCTCGACCACCTGTCGTGGCGCCACCACGCCATTCCTCAGAAAGCTTCGGGGGTGGCTTTGATGGTTGTTGACACGTCTCGTTCACCTACCCGGTGAGATTATGCCCGCACCACGTGGCTTCACTGGACGTTGCTGGATCAAAAATGCTCTGCCTACTCTCGGGCAGCGACCCGTTCGCCTACCCGCTTTCGAATATGTGACGGATGGTGAAATCACGACTACTAAGCACGCGAATGTGATCCTACGGCTTGGTGAGCTGGGGCTGGGCTCTTTTAGATTGGGCGTGTGGAAGATATATGCGACCTCTCCTCTCGGAGCCAGACACGTGGCGGTATAATGACCGGCTACGAGGGTCCCTAAATGGACGGTGGAAGCCAATTCGCGGAAACCCTTGTGACGGCGTTCTCCCTCCTCTTATCCGGCGGTGTTCGATCGAGTCAGGTAATGCCGACTGGGGCTTAGCCTTTCTTCGCTGTAATCGTTTATTTTCTTCTCTAATTTCCTCCTTTATTTTTGCTGGGTTTTTGTGGTTGATTCTGAGATCTTTCGGGTTCGTGAACTATGCGCTACTTTATTCTTCTTCTGCATGTTTCGAAAAGTCTAGACGCTCGAGATAAGGGCTTGGGGGGTGAGCCCTGATGTCTTATACGCAGTCCTGGCTCTTCCGATTGTTGATACTGGAAAGTCATCTTATGGCTGTGGTGGTGGTGGCCAAATTGTGAACTTTTGGTGATAATTTGGAGAGATTTGCTTTGCCAAGTGCTTTTATATTTGCGGTTACCATTTCGCTGATCGATATGATTCGTCAGTGGAAGCTGGATGTTTGATAACGATCAGGAGACTCCTTACCTTTCGAGGTCAGCTTGTGGCGTTTTGGCACTCCAGAGGAAGAACAAGGAGGGCCTTTTGTGGTGGCTGCTGCTGCTGCTGCTGCTGTGATTCTGCAAAGAAAATCGCTGTTGCTGTTGCCGTGTCTTTTTAGATCTATTGATAATTGGTTTGTTCGATTAACGTGGTGCTTCATTCTAGTTGCTGGCAATATGACAACAATTGTGATCTCGGGTTAAGAAGAAGCATTAGCCACTAACTTCTCTGGTAGTCCTGCATCTAAGTAAGGTGTAGAATGGAGTTGATGGCTGCCACCGTTCCAATAGCTTTATGGAGTTCTGTTCAATGATTGAAAAGCATTTAAATCTTTAAGTAGCCAAATAGAGTCGAAGATATTATAAATCAGGACCAGTAAAGTGGTTATTTCACCTTAAGAAGAACTTTGGTACATCTTGATCATTGTGTGCATCTGATACTGCTTTGCTTCACTTGTACTTGGCATCTTCTCAGCTTTGTCGAAGTTCTATTACAGCTATCAATTGAGATCTTTGGTGATCATGATATAATTATTTTTAGTAAACTTTGGAATAAAAACTGGGACATTTCAATTTTATTATCGGTCAATTGAAGACCTAGATCTTTCAGGTTTCTAGTGTAATTCATGATTTTTAAGAATGCAGAACTAGTTACAAGTCTCAGTTAAGAGCCATGTGAGCAATATAGGTTATAATTCTTTGCTCTCTATATATAAATTGTTCTTCAGAATGAGTAAACATCAGTTGTTGTTGCATGCTATGGATAACTGATATGCGATGACTGATATTTCAGAAGCAGAACATCAACTCATGCCTTTGTTAGATATGAATATGGACAGACATCATGGTGAACCACTGGTTGGTGCAGTTCGTACTTTAGAGATTTGGAATGAACTACATATGTTGTGATGTCAAACTCATGAATTTTACTGATTTCTTGGAGGAAAGCACCTTAATGGATGTTCTTGTGTTGAAATGCATATTTCATCTTGTGCAGTTAGGAGGTTTAGCATTAAAACCAAATATGGGATAATAAAATGAATGCATCATATGCATCTTTAGTTGAGGAGCTTTGCTAGTAGCAGGCAAGTTTCCGGGTAATGTAAGCAAGAAATTCATCCTGTGAGAGCCCTTTGATAAATCTTAGCTGATGTTCATTAGTAAACAGAATATGTCATTAAAGATTTGTGCACTGGATGAATACTAGAGTGGTCATCGGTTCATTCTTTTTATCTGGACTGCCTTCCTTCTGTCGTTCTCATTATTGAACAGATTGCTGGATTTTTATTTTGGAGTTGTCTTTTTGTCTTTCTCATCATATTATCAGCTTGTAAGGTTGCAACAAGAATTAGTCAGTAGATCTTACCTAAAGGATGTCAAAGGTTACTTTTCATTATTGCCGCTATTATGAATTTGGGACATGGAATATTATGGATGGCTAGGCTAATGGTCTGTTACCTCTTAGCAACTATGTTTGAATGGCTTGCTTACTTTTCAAGATATATAACAGGGTAAAGGAAAGTCCCAGTGAGTTACATGTTTCCCATTGGAGAAATTTTCCTTCAAATACTAGTGCTGCTTCAACATATTTGGCATATGGACATTCTCCTCAAATGTTAGAAATGAAAAAAAAAATGAGTTCCTTGTAAACAGTATTATTATGCATTTCCTATTCAATTCCATATTGATCTGAAATCAAGAATTCATCTCAAAAGGTACCTTTGGAGTTCAAAGCTTTGTTAGACAGTCAAGGACTAACTTCCAAAGGCATATCCTATTTGTCTGTGGCGGCATCATATTTTTTCTTTTAGAATAGCTAGTATCTTAGTTTATCCTTTTTTCTGGCCTCTATTGTAATATCTTTTAATCAATTTACACTCCTAAAATATTTTGCCCATTCCAATTTAATTTAGACTTTCAATTTAAATAAAACCCAGAATCTTCAAGTTAAATAAAATCCAGAATCTTCTTTTTCATAACCTTCAACTTATATTCGTTTGTTTGTCCCGTTAGCACATATGAATGGTCAAGTGGATTTGACTGTATTCCTTCCAGCTGATCTTTGTTACCTATTGTGACATTAAAAGGTAAATTGTGTTCTTTGGCTGTACTCATGTTTGCTTCTGTTGGTCATATGAGCTTTGATATGAGAGATGAAATAGACTTCTAAAATAGCTTATGGTAGTATTTATGCTGGATTTCACCTGTTAGAGATTTTACAACTCTGAATCAGATAATTGCTACTTCATTATTTTCTTTTTTGTACTTATATTTTCTTACAGCCTCATTGATGTCTTCTCAGGAGTGTGAACTTTAACGTGCCTTCTATAAATAGGATCTTGCCTTCTGCCCGGTGCCAAAGAAAATTTTTGTAGACTTGCCAGCCATCACTTGAAGAGATGTCAGAATCAGACAATAATGAGGTTCTTTTATTCTTCATTGAATATAAATTATATGGAGATTTCATGTTTCCTTGGAATTAACATTTTAAAGTCTGTGTTGGCAGTCTGGACCTAATCTTGCATTCCAAAATTCTAGTGACTCTATTTTTGGCATGCCTATCAAGAAAAGGCAGTTTCATTTATCTCAGTGCCCATCTCCTAGATCTCAGGAAACAGATGTGTCTCCACAAGATTGTGGGATATCAATTAGTTCTACTGAACACATTTTACATACTGATATTATGCCAATTCCTGGAAGTTTCAGCCGAGCTAGTTCCCAGGAATTTGCATTAAAAGATGCTAGATCCTCTGGTCAGGGAACTAGTACTGCAGGCTTAACCATGGGTCACAAGTCTTTTGGATTGTCAATTATGGATACCAGCAAAAACATGTCAACTCCAAACAGACCACCTGGGCTGCCTGTAGGTGAGATGGATGTTGAAGAGAGAATTTCTAGTGTTAGGCCTACATACCCAGCAAATTCAGAGTTACGATTGACATTATCATCGGATGCAAAAAATTATGGTTACAACTTGGTTCAGCAAGGCATAACTGAAACATGTTCATCAGATCTGCCTCTTGATCCTCTGATAACAGTTAGTGAAACTGATGCCAAGACTGGCTCTTTTAATGTGGTGAACCGGTTTAATTTGGATCTAAATATTCCAGTTGACACATGGGATGCTACTGTCGGTGAGTCTGTTATTGAACATAGCATGCATGAAATGTTGAATGGCATTGAGGCATGCTCTGAACAAACAATTCGGGCTGATGTCACATCAGGTAAGTCTATTATTGGGAGAAGTCACTATGACCATTGGTTGTCTAATTTGGGGAAGACTGATGAGAGGCATAAGGTGTCTGGGCTTGGCTTAGATTTGCAGCTTAAACCACCCAGCAGACCGGAATCATGTATCAAATGGGGAGATGTTGCTCCTGATTTAAGCTTGTCCTTGGAAAGAAATGTGTCAAATGCTTCATTCAAAGTTATAAAGCCTGAACCACACATAGACAATAGTCAAAATGACTGTGTTAATGCTTATCTGAGTGGATCAAATCTTGCACTTTCTATGTCTGTAAAACCTCAACTATGTAGTGGACATTTTCAGGATGGAAGTGCCAAAGTAACTTGTTCTGGTGACGAGAAACAAGCAGTCAGAAGGGTGATGAAGATGGAGCTATCTGAACAGTTATCCGATGAGTACTTTAGTAGACCTGCTGTTAGGGCAGTCAGCATGGAGTTTCACAACAATAAGCCAACACATCAGCATATAGAGATTCCATTGAGCATGACTGAACCCATGGATTCGAATTCTGTCACTGCTTCTGATGAAAACGTTCTTGATGTTGATGGCTCAGTGATGATTGTTAATACAGACATCAATACTAGTCCTGTGGCCTCGCCTTCTATTGTGAATCCATCTTCCGAAGAATGTTGTAAATTTGAAGATACACTTGATAGCACTTGTAGTCTTGAGAAGGCAGAAGTAAGTGCTTCAAAGGCAGCAGATTTGGATGTAGATTCCCTCAGTTCGGATGTTAAAGAGAAGTTCAAAGGCGCTGTAACTTCGGAAGATACTTGCTTGGGTTCTAACTCGTTTTATGAATATGTAGTACCTGTGGCACTTAATGGTACATCTGAAGGTATTGTATCCTCAGATGATGAGTACTGCAAATCATTGAAATCAATTGCAGAAAATAACCTTCGTTTGGATTCCATGGGAAAGGGTACAAGAGGTGAGGAAAAACAGGAAAGTGTAGACTTATTTTCTAAGATTCAGGAACTTTATGATGACAAGCAAGTCCCATATGATAGTCCTCATGGTCCCAGTGTTGCTAGAGATAAAGCTCTTACACATGGAGCTGGTGTTGGTGAATACAAAGATGGCAAACATGGGGATCTTGTCCCTCATGAGCCAATTGAGGCTTCCTGTGAGGAACGAGAAAAGGCAGATAACGAGATAGCCTCCGATACAACTGCTGCAGTGGATGTTTCTGTCAATATGTTATCAAATTTGGAAGTTAATGGAAAACAGATACAAATTTTGGATGTAGTTGCTGATGCAATTGGTGCAGTGGATGTTGCTGCCAATATGCCACCAAATTTGAAAGTTAATAATGAACAGATGAAAATTTTGGATGTACAGATTGGTCATCATGGTGAAGCTTTTGATGGCAATTTGTGCAATTATAAAAATAAGACAGGCTCTAGTTTAACAACAGATTTGCTTGAGTCATCAGGAGTGAGGGTGCCAATGACTTCAAGTAGTACAAGACTTGCAAAACTTTTACAGCAAGCTAATAGGAAGGAAAGAGGCCCACCCATGAAGCCGAGGCGCACTAGATTACTTAGCTCAAAAGTTGTGAAAACTTGCGAGGATGATGTAAGCAGCCAACAGGTGAATGCTAAAGAGGAAAGAAGCCCACCCATGAAGTTGAGGCCCGTTGGATCACTTAGCTCAAAATTTGTGAAAACTTGCGAGGATGATGTAAGTAGCCAACAGGTGAATGCCAAAGAGGTGGAAAGTGGCCCACCCATGAAGTCGAGGCCCGTTGGAACACGTAGCTCAAAATTTGTGAAAATTTGCAAGGATGATGTAAGTAGCCAACAGGTGAATGCTAAAGAGGATGATATCCCTGTAAAAAATCCAGTGACATTAGAGAGTGATTCAGATGCCAGTGGTGTTGCAGATAAGCATGTTGATAATAGTGGTAAATGTAGTCAGATTAGGAAGGTAAATTCACCGGGTATCAACAAGTTATCTTCTGGAAAAATGAACTCAATTACAGCTAGACTTGTTTTTTCACAAACTGAGAGGAAAGGGTTGATTGATAAACCACACAGACATGAAGGGTCACACACTCGAGGTGGCAGGTGATGATTCTCTCTAGTCTTTCCTTTGGCATTTTCTTTATGTTGCAATTTGCAGGTTATTCTGATCTTTACTTCCTCTAAATTTTAGGAGTGAAAGATATGACAATAGGTCTTTTAGATATGGAAGCAATGATCAAGATCAACCGGTTCAAAAACGTGGTATGGATTTGATGAACACCAGAAGGGATGGTCATAATGTGAGTGCATGTGCCCGAGACTCTGGCCGTCAATATGCACCAAAAGTTAATGACTCTAAAGGTTACAGATTCACAAGGCCTAGTAATAGACACGAGGTTCCCTTGAGAACTGCTGCAGATGGTTCTACTGGGAGTGATGGTCGGATCATCAGAAGGTTTATGAATAATGAATCACCACATTTATCTCATTTTTCATATAGTAGGCATTCTCTTGGGGCACATGATGGACCATCAATTGCTGTTAGGATTTCCAGAGGAGTCTATCAGGAAGATAGCTCCAATACGTTCACCGGTAGGCATGTCCCAACCATTCTACCAGATCATGAGAAGATGGTGAGAGGCTTGCCAAATGAAGTGATAGACCCCTTTTTTAATTCAGACCGATATGTGCAATATGAACAAGCTGATAATTACCCCTCGTTGAGAGAAAGAAACCTTTCACCTTCTGGGAGGAGGGGTCCTCCCAAATGTCTACCTCGAGCACGCTCTCCTTATCAGTTTTCTCCACCTAGGTCGCCTGGTATAGTTTATGAGGGACATGCGGAGCTATTGCGACACAGGTCACCACCACTGAGATCACCTCCTCGACATCTTTGCTTACCTGAACATGCAATGGTCAGAAATGGTTTGCCACCTTATTCTCACTTAGCTAGTGACATGAGAGAAATGCATCCCATGAGGGAAGTGGATTTGTCAAGGCCTGTTAGGGGTTCTCAAAGGAACATCAGGAGGTTTAATTTGTGTGTTCAACAAGAGAATGCAGAGGACTATGGGTCTATGCACTTTGCTCAACAAACTCTCCACGCAGAAGATGAGCTGGTTCATAGGAGGAAGTATGATGGCAAACGTGCTTATCTTCAGTCTTGTGGGAATCACCATCCTGTTGGTGACAGTGGAGAGGAGCCTATTACTTATCCAGTCGATGGTGATCCTCCTAGACCTATAAGGTTTTGTCCTGACAGAGAAGGTTTCTCTGATAGAAGCAGCTTAAGGGGCCCTGTCATGCGAAGCACTTCAAACACATCAAGAAGAATGGCAGAACGAGAAGATTTCAGAAACCGTGGCCTGCCAGCAAGGCGTGACAGTGATTTCAATGATATTCGGCTAAAGAGGAGAAGAGTTTGACTATGAGATGTGTCATTTTAGGTGATTGCTTATGGCCCTTTAGTAGCAAATCCTGCTGTACATTTTGAGAACCAAATTGACATGAACAGTTCTTGCCACAAGATTTGTGGGACTCTTAAGAACCACCAATGGCTGGGCTTGACAAGTTTTGCTATGAATTATACCATATAGAGTAATGGTTAAGCCAGATGATGAGGTTGAAAACATCTCGAGTGACAGATGTTCTAATTGTCAGGCATGTTTGAGTTATTTGTCTTTTGGACATTTACGGTATTGAGACATCTTAGCGACAGTGCCTTCCTGCTTACTCTGCTGGCAAATCCGTGCCTCTCTGCAAATTATATTTATATGCACATGTATGCATATGAAATTCTGGTTCCAAGATGAATGAGTGCTTCTGACTTCATTGATTTCATGATTGGATTCTTAGATGCTGCAGACACCTCAAACCTTGAAAATGAGAAAGTGTTTAAGATATTGTTAAAACATGCAACAGTTGTAATCCAAAATGAACTAGTGCGTGGCAATTTTCCTCCGGTTCTGCTGCTATTTTGGATGGCTTTGCTCATCACCTCAGAGGAGGGTTTCCAACTGGAAAACATTCTTATGGATCATTTTGCAGTTTCAATGGATTTTTTTTGGGATCAAGGACTCCATTGTCTCCTTGGTGTCTATCCATAGATAAGAGATGCTGCTTGAAGGGAGTTGTTTCATCCTAACAAAAGAAAAGTTACAGTTAATGTCATCAACAGGTGCAGACTTGCTCCGTCATTTGAAACTTCCAGACTTTCTCCGTCAGTTAATGGTTCCCATACAGCTTTCAGTTATCAGTATTTCTCAGCTCCCAGAGTTAATGCCTTATTGGGGTGTCTTCCATTTTCAATTTATATGGTTTGGATTGTTGGAACAGCTGCCTAAATTCCATACTGAGCAAGTGGACTGTCTGAGTTTGACTTTATTGGGGTTCATGAGAACCAAAAGATTCTGGTTGACTTCAAAGAAGGTATTTTTAGACAGCTTAATTATGAACTTAAAACTGACTTAAACATGGGTAGAGGGATCTCTTAAATATTTGGCTTTGGTATAATGAAACCTGCAACAAAGAGTATACAATATAAGACTGGTGGCAATTCATAATTGAATGAATTGTCGAAGGACATGACTTTTTAAGATGCTCAAAAAGGCATGGTATTTGTCACTTAACCAAGGCATACAGTGCTCACAGTTAAATGAAAGGCTAAACAGTCAAATAGACATGTCTCATTTTGTACACTGAAGAAATGCAGATCACTGTGGTACAATATCACCCAGTCATGCAGTGTCCATGTTATACTTGTTAGCAAGACGTCAAATATATTCTACAGGGTACTGTAGCATCTGCAAGATGAAGGATGGTGGTTGGCTTGAGCTTTAATCGCTCTTCATTTCCTCCAGCGGTGTTGGGACATTACTGTGTCACCCTTGTTAATGTTGATGCAAAGAGAAAGGGTAGTCAATGAAGTCATACAGTTTCCCGCATCTCGTAGACAAACTGCTTGGACAATGGAGAGGTTTCAGTGCCATGTAAGTCTTCCTCTCCTTCGTCATGTTCACGCGATGTCTTCACCGGATACGAAGAATATGGTATCGATGGAGATGGCGAAGAAGCCCCGCTGAGCAAGAAGCCCGGCGAGTGTGGATGCGCCCTGAGGCTTCTCGAGCTCGCGAATGGCGTGCTCGTACTGCCGGGGAAGAGATGCTGGATGCCACTCGGAGGCCCGTTGGATACCATCTTGGCCACGAGAGAGAGGAAGACGAGGAGGCCGAGCGTCCGTAGATCTGCCTGTGCTTTGACGTGATCACCATGCTCCCACTACCGTGGGCGATCAACTGCAAGAATTGGATCACCATGAGAGCGCTTGCGGAGTCCAGCCCCGAGGTGGGCTCGTCGATGAAGAGGATTATGTGGCCGTCGATGTCAGTTCCGATGGACACCCGGCGCCCCTCATTCCTATCCCAAACGATGGTTTTCGCCGCCGACTGCAGCCCGAGCTGGACGATCACCTCTTTCACTCCTCCTCCTTCCTTGACGCTGGGACAGAACGAGGCTGCCGCAACCTGACAGCGACCGTCAACGTCTCCTACACGGTCAGCGTCGGGGAAAAAGGTTGTCGACCTGCATCACGTACGAGGATATTATCTTCGAGACTCGCGCCATCGAGGGTGACCTATCCTTAGAGGCCGGCCCTCTCGATTCGCTTAAGCTGTGCGTCGACGATGGTAGTCTTCCTCGAGCCGCTCGCCCCGAGCACATGACCTCCCCAGTCCTCACCTCGCCGGAGATGGAATCCAAAAGCTTCCTGCTTCCGGGTTGCTTCTTCCAGAAAAGTGACGACCTCCGTGTCTCCTTAAACGCTGTCGGAGAGAGAGAGATCGGCGAAGGCGAGGACGAAGATGCACGGCTACTCGCTGGCGGTGGCTATGGCGGGGAGCTGGGTTTATTCGACGGAAGATGGTGTGGTGGTCGGCGTTGGAAACCATGCAAGGTTTTCGACAGTTGGTGGATTTCGCTGTTGCAAGCTATCACTGGTTTTGTCGCTTTGACGGCATGGTGGTGACAAAACATATATTTATTTTAACTAGATTAATTTATGTCAACTATAATTTAATCATTATTAATTGGGATGCTATAGAAAGGGATAATATATTTTATACTAAAATATATAAGGGCTAATACGGTCATTGAACCTCTTTCCTACATTTTACTTAAGTCTTATTGGTGGAATACGATTCCTAAATTGTCAGCCACACAAGCAAATAATTTGTTGCGAAATATCTCTGTTAATCGGTAATATAACAGATGATAATATGATTTTATTTATATATAATTATAATATTTTTTAGAAATATATATATTATCTATAGTACTCGTTCGATAGTTGTCTTCATTGCTCATCGCCAATGCAAGGATAATGTTAAGGTGGGGGACAAAACCTAGGGGAAGAAGGCAATTACAATGCCACCTTTGTCATCTACTCTTGAAGTTGTTTTTCGTCTTTCCTTTGTCTCTTGCTCCCAATATTATCATTATATTTTATTTTTAAGGTGATTTATAAAAGTATTATAAAATCGATGTTATCTTCAGGGTAGGAGGCAAAGGTTGATTTCATTGTGTGACGTATGACAAAGACGATAATGGTAAGATAGAATTCAGGAGTAATATTATTTTAATAAAATAAAGATGCTATGGGAGAATAAAGTAAAGAAAGGATGTTATGAAAAAAAAGAGTAAAATTTAATTTTTTTTAAATATTATATAATAATAATAATAATAATAATAATAATAAGTATTCCATCAAATAGAATAAGACCACGATAGCAATGACAGCGGGCCCAGAACGGGCCGGTCCGTCACGGAAACGGTTGGCCCAGTAGACTCTACGTCACTAAAACCCCGGTACCAGTTTTCGACTCGGAAGGAAGCTATGGAGCGTGCCCTCCTTGAGAGGCTCCAACGCCGCCTCTCTCCCGGCGCCGCCGATGCTCGCGGCCGCATCCAGGCCCTATACTCAGCCCGATCCCTCATCGCCAACCCCAATTCCACCGAGTCCACCCGGCGCTCCGTCGTCGACGCTCTCGTCGCCTCCCTCCGCCACCACCAAGACGACCCCGCCTTCGTCCACCACGCCCTCAAGCTCCTCGGAGATGCGGCTGTCCTTTGCCGCCCCTTCGCCCACACCGTGGTCGCCGCCGTTCGCCCCTTCCTCGACGGTGGCCACAGCCTGACCGCTGACGCCGTCGCCGCCCTAGCCTCCGTCGCGGAGGCCGACAATGGAGGGGGAGGAGAAGGGTATTCTCTCGTTGCGTCGGCATTGGACGGCGTTCGCATTCTTTCGCTTGCTTCTAGCCCCATCGTCGCCGTTCGGTCGCAGGTTCTTGATCTCTTGGTGCGGAGTGTGGAGAGGGGTCGATTCTGGGATTCTTTTGGGCATCATACAACGATTCAAGTGTTCCTTGGGCTCGCGATGGATCTGTACCCACTGGTTAGAAAACGTGCTGTCGATGGCATAATAGCATTGCTAAGGGAAGCCGCAGGTGGCGTCGATTGTTTAATCGTGGAATGCTGCTATGATCGTGCTGTTGTGCTTCTTAAGGACGAGGAAAAGCTCGTTAGATTGACTGCCGTTAAGTTGGTGAGGAACATTATCCATAGACTTTGTTATACTGTCAAAATTTTGGCTTTATGATCAGTCAATTTTTGATTAAAAACCAGCTAATCTGCGTGAAATTTCATGATCAGATCAGTGAGTGTGGGGAGCTTTTTGCAGCCAGCCAGGGGGAAACTGAGCACAGCGAGCAAATGGATGTGGTATTTGTTCAAGTATGCATTGTGTTGTTTAAAGCTTATTGCATTTTCTTAGTTCTCAGTGCTTGGGTGAATATTGTTGTCCAATTTAGTTTAATCTTCTACTTTCTTAGTATATATCTTGGTTACATTTAGGTTTACTATAAATCCATTACTCTTCTTTTCAGCTTTGTTTGATGGCAAGAGATATGCATATGGAAGTTAGATTTGAAGCTTTTGTTGCGCTTGGGAAAGTAAGACTGGTACATGAGACTGTTCTGTTACAATCCCTCTCTAAGAAAATTTTGGGCATCAAGAGCGGAAAAGCCATTGTTAAATGCTCCACAAAAGGAACTAAAATTTCACTGTTATCAGCTGCTGGCGCTTTTGTACATGGAATTGAAGATGAATTCTATGAGGTGAACTTGGTGCTTATCATCATGTTATTTTTTTTTTTTCTTTTGAGTGATACATCATAATTCAATGAAACTTCATATATATATATATATATATATATATATATATATGTACATATATATATATGCACATATGTATGTACATATGTACATACATATGTACATATGTACATACATATGTACATATATACATATATATATATATATATGCAACCTCTTTGTGGTTTCTGCAGTATATTATATTGTGCTAATTGTTTTCTAGGTACGGGAAGCTGCATGTAGATCATTGGGAATGCTAACAATTTTCTCTGTCAAGTTTGCATATGAGGCTACAAACTTACTAATGGACATGTTAAATGATGATACAGAGGTGGTTCGATTACAAACCTTGCAAACATTATCTCATATGGCAAATTATGATCGTTTAACAATGCAGGACAAACACATGCAAATGGTATGCCATGGACCTTTATTTATTTGAGAGAATAATTTATTATTGATATGCATCAAAATTACATTATTATGAACTGTTTAAGATTTATCCTGTGCTATTCTTTTACAAAATATCTTGAAATTTATCAAAATTATATAGTAGTATGAAAATTTTAAGATTTTTCCTGTGCTATTCTCTTACAAAATATCTTTTGCTAATATTGAATGTGCAGTGTTGCTTGTGTCACCAGTTGATGGTGAAGATTGAGGATAGTTGCAAGATCTTGCAGTATATTTCTGGATAGCATAGCTCGCAGACTCTTGGTATCAATTGCTTGCCTTTCAGTTGACATGTCAATGGAGAGGAATGAGAATAGCAATTGTGGGTCTGATATGTTTATCATTAAGCTAGAGAAATAAATCTGAAACTTGAAATTCTTATTCACAGAGTGGAAATGTTACTATTTTAACAACTTTAGTGTCAATTCTCTATTTGTGAGATGACAGAATGAACATCTCCAGCATATCTTTCATGATGCACATGGTGAATAATATGTTATGCAGATACACTTCTTATAAATGTTTCACGTGAAGGTCTAAAGAGCATTTATTTTCAATGGGAATGCTGAACTACGTATTGTGGTTTATGCATTAGCCAAGATTGCCTTATTGGGAACATTCCATTCTGTTTCCTTGTCAGACCAATATGCTGTAATGATGTGTGGTGTTCTGGCTGATACCAGCACCTTGCTGCTGGAAAATAGTAAAGATCATTACAAGTACATAATTCCTCCTCCTGCTTTACTTATTGTTCACCTTCTTTTCTTTCACTTTCATCTACCGCAATCCTCCTCCTACTATCCTCTTTTCAGTTATTGCCATGTCAAGTTGTGCTTCTCTTCTTGTTTTTGTGATTGTCACTTCATCAAGCTCAATATGAGGTTAATGACACTATTTACACTGATTCAATTTTGACTGAAACATGTGAAATTTCTTGACTGAAACCGCATATTGCAAGTTATTTAATTCAATCAGACTTCATATTGTTATGTGGCATGTGGCTTCTTATCATGTTCTATAAAATATCTTAGAAGCAGGAGTTTGTTTCTATTAATAAAATTGTTTGCCCATTTTTGACTGCAACCACATATTCATTACTCTTGGTTTTCTGTTAATATATATTTCAAGATTGTTTGATTTCTTCGTGTACTTTTCCCATTGTTTACTTGTCGTACAATTCAGAATTTAACTCACACTATGTTATTTGTGAAATTCTGCAGTTTCTTGGTCTATTGGCTGATATTAGTCCCTCGATAAGATGCTTGGCAAGAAAACTGCTCCAGCTAATTAAGTTGCCTGATTTTGTATCGTTTAGAGATACAATTGATTGTCTCGTCAGCAATTTAGAGGCATTCCCAGAGGTTTAATTATGTAGAATATTTTCTAGTATATTCATACACTATGCTTTGTGGAAGAGTCTACATTTTAGCAACTTTCAGTTTTGTTGGGTGCTTCAGGAGCTTCATTCATACTATAGGACTTGTTGTTACTTGCAATAGAACTTGTTGGTACTTGCACTTGAAATGTATACTTTATTCTTAAGCCAGCTCAGACTTGCCTATAAGATTTTCATCTCATGCGATTATGTACATGTAGTGTTAATGGATGAGGATTAATTGCCATCCATGCTACATCTCTTCAACTGCAGGCTTGGAATTGTGCATGTAACACGAGTCTTGTGTCATGTACCCTGGCAGTTTATAAGTCTGGGCATGCACCTATGTTAGATGTGATGACCCAAGCCCAAATACCATTTGAGCTGGGCATGTACCTTTTGGAGGTGGGTTTTAATTTATATAGTAAATCAAAGCCTAGTCTTCATTTGATATGGGACTAGTCAGGGTATTACACTGGATCTTGGCATGGCACTACATAGCTTTTATGTACCATGGCACGTTTTGCACCAGTGGCTGGATACGGTGCAGCACGGCACTATTTTTTGTTGACAAAGAAAAAGAAAAAAATAAAAAAGATAAAGTTAGGTGAATTTTGGCAATTTGACTTAAGCCTTTTTAGATGTGGATAAAGTTAATTGAGTTAGGTACAATTTTTACATATACAATTTTCATCTTTACATTTTACATGTTTTTTAAAATTTGACAAAAAGTAAATCTGCATAATATTTGGCAGTTGACATGTGATATTTTGCAAATATTTAATTAATCCTTACTATGATTAGACAATTTCCTCTCAGAATTGGTGTCACCTCTTTTATGATCTCATGCTTATTTCTTGTTAAAAATATTTCTCTTTATAAACTTGTTATTATTTTCATGTGTATGTTGTTTGCAAACTTCTGATGTTCAGTAGCATAGTGATTTGGTTCAAATTATAATGCATTTCCTTTTAACAAGAATATTTGAAATTATTGTTAACTTTTAACAGCCAATGATAAATGAATGCTGTTTATGTTTGTAAAATATAAAGTGATAGTAATTTTTATTTAAAGAATCTTCAGATTAAAAGTTTTAAAAAAGATGATGTAATGATAGCAAAATGGGAACAGACTAATCCTTTGTTTTCTATTTTTTAAATATCTTAGTTTAATTCATTGATATATTTGAACTTGTTAAGCATTATGTTATATATTTCTTATCAGCATCCCTGTTTTCTATATTCAGGAAGAAGAAGATATTTTCTTCGTTCTGTTTTCTGTCGGCAAGCAGCACAAGAACTTTTCAGCCAAGTTAGCAAAAGAATTTGCAAAAGAGGTGCATCCTTCTTCTTTGTCCATGGATATGAAGGGAGCAATATGACTTATTGTAGTATCCATTATTTAAAACTGACTTTCCCTGTTTGGAATTTTATATGTTTGTTCTGATGGATGAAGTAGGTTTTAGTAATGCACAAAATATTAAGCCCGTATATCATCTCATTTACTAAAGCATGTCAACACATGTACTTTACATCAATCTCTTTGCAGATGAAATCAGGGATAAATGATGCTGCTAATGGCAAATTAAAAGGACTAAAGAAAATTTATCAACTTCTATTAATCTTAAACCTGGAGCGATCCAGAACAACTCTTACTTTTGGACATTGAAACCATGCCTTAAAAGTCATTGAAGTTGGGATGTGTAAATAATGAAGGAATCAGGGATTGCTGACCTTACATGCAACCTTGTCCTTCTTTGCTCACCTTTCTTGCTTGCCTGACTTTATCAGTAGTATCTTTCTTTGTTGGAGCTGTAATCTTAGAGTCCTTGCTTGCTTGGGTTGTTTCCCTGAAGGTGAAGAAAATTCCTTGATTCCTCTTTCTTGGACAGGATCCTTATTAATTGTTTGTAGGAAGCTAGTATCAGTATCTTTCTCTTCTGCTTGCCAAAAATGAAGAAGCCTTAATTGTTGCTTTTACATTGCTTATATCCACCTTCAGCTGGTTCTTGTGCTTCTTGCCTTTTCACATAGGCAGAAGTCAAGATAGTCCAAGATGGGTTCTTTTGTTATTTGAAACTGACAACTTATATTATCATGGACCTTGATGAACTTGAAGCATAAGTCATTCATATCTGGATGCCGCTCAAGTTCACAAAAGGTTTGCAGGCAGAAGTGCTATAATATAATTGAATTAAGTGGTTTTATATCCTTTGCCCTGAAGGCCTCATGGATTTACTCATGTTATGAGAATACTGATAGTTTTTAATATGGATTACATGCAACATTTATAGAAAAGGTATCCCACACTTGTGCAGTGACATTCAGCAAAAATAAAATTCTACAGAAAGGCAGATAAACCTAATATCTACAGTTGTCTTATAGGTAGAATATGGATACTGGGGGCATTTCTATCGTAGTATCCAATTTTAGTTAAAGTTCTAACTTGGGTAGTTTACCGAACTTACAAACAGAGATTTCACTTCGTAGAATCTTATTTACTTCAAGTGTCTGTTGCAAGTTATTTGAAGTTAAAATATCAATGGTCATCAGATTGTCAAGGTGACGGTCCTGGCCTACTGCCTCGGTGGTTGATCAATTTGTTGCCATGTGAGGGACAGAGTAAAAGTCATTGCTTTTTTATTTTACAACCCTAAATCTTTAATTATATTGTTCATATGTTGGTAATGAATGCAAAAGTTTGATAGTTCTAAATTCTTTTAGGGTGAATGCTATGATGAATCCAGATCATGTAACTCACCTTTTATGGTTATTGTAGTTTCTAAGTTTTTAAAGTGACTTGCTACTGTAGTGTAATAGATATGCTGATTTCCACTTTGTCTGTTTTATAGATAGATCTATCCTGTGGAGAGCTGATTTTGGATAGCCATGAAGTGGCAGCGAAGTTAGTTTTATTCATCTCATCATCTTTCTCCAATGGACAACGTACAACTGATATTCCTATGGCTCTATATTCTTATGCAATCCCTTTTAGTGGAAGAATCACTCATGCCCTGAGAGGTTCTGTAGACCAAGATTCCCTTTTGGCCTATTTGTGTTCTTATAGTAAAGAGATCCACAACATATGCACTTCATCGATGCCGATTCATGTTGCGATGTCTGATATTACACGTAAGGGAAATGTGCTAGATTTTAGTAAAATATTGACACGTTCCGAGCAAACACAAGAGAAGTGTGTGTTCTTGAATGAGGAAACAATGCAGTTCATAAAGCTTAATTTAGAAACAGTTGGGAAAACTTGGCCTCTGATGAAGTCACATTGTACACAAGTAGTGCAAAACATGTTAAGGTATTCTTTGTTTGTTTTCTGGTCTTTAGGTTCTCCTAAATAGTTTACTTTCTTTTTTATATGTCTAGGTTACTTAAGTATGCTATGTTATCTATGGCATGTAGGGCTTGCAAAGAAGAGTTAGAAACCATTGCTTGGAATGCTGATGATGGAGCTGCCAGTTCATTTTTAGACTTTGCAGCTCTGTATATTCAAGTAATCCAGTTGGTTACTGAAATATTGGACAAATCTCTTCCAAAAAAATCTTGCATTATTGGCATGACATCACTTGATATCATACTGGAAAGATTAGACATGAATCTCCGAAGGCTGAGGTATGGCTTTTCAGGTTTGCAAAGAGACGAAGAATGTCATATTGTAGAGTTGACGTTGCTTAGCTATGTTTTTAGACTATTGGAGATTGGAGTAAGCCCACAACCTATATTGGCGAGGCTGACTTCTACAATTTCTCATTTGGAGTTCCTTTGTGAAGGACCATCTAATCTTTCTGATTTTGCCAAAGAAGTAAAGCATGCTTGTACTGAAGGCACAGCTGCCTTATTTTCTACTACATATGTTTTTCGTAAGTTACTTGAACTCTTCTATCCTGAGCAGATAACATTTACTGGAAGATTTAAACAGAAAAAGGCAGAAGTGTTAGTCATTGGTAATGATTCAGAGAATCCTCTGACTTTCGTGTCAGGTTTGCCTGTCGGAATCTTCTTCCGTATAACACTGTATGAAATACTAAATAGTGACAGGTTGTGGCTCTTGTTGGCCGTGGGTGAGTCAATTCAATATGTCTTTCTTGATTTAAGCCAATTTGAAGGCTGTGATGCAGTGAGAAGCTGCACTCTTAATGTTCCATTTCACGGAACTCCAAAAGCAGCATCATTTTTGCTAAGGGCTTCTGTAGGTATTGAGTGTCCATCTGAAGACGTCACAAACCACAGTAAAGGTCAGGGAGGGCCAATAGATGATTATGCTATAATCTGCAAGGAAAATGATGTTCATTTTATTGGTGTCAATAACAGATGATATTTGGAAGCTGTGAGCTGGGAGTCAATGCTACATTTCTGCATATGTTCTCTATGGGGTAAGTCTGTGATCAACTTGTGCAAAGCAACTAGGTCTGGAGTAACCAGGTGAAACCTTTGCATGATCATCAATAGAAAGAACTGGTGTATACAGCGACACAGAGAAGCAGATTGAAGCAGTGAAACAGTTGGTCAATGAATTAGTGAATCATGGATTATATGAAGTTCTTTGTTATGAAGAACTTTGCCAACTTGGTGTAAATTTCTTCTATTGTCCTTCCACTTGTGACAACTTGATCATACTCCTTACAACTCATTAGGATAGGTGGGAATTCAGTGTCACCTGAAATTGGTTTCCTTTTCTTTTTGGTCGATGCTTCTATCACTTAATACCATGCTTTACAATTGCCTTTGTTTACTATGCTTTCTTTAAGCCATTTCTTATTACTCATGAATATTTTTTCTTTTGTGCTGCATGCATGCACTAGTTCCTTAAATTCACATGAAGTAAGTTTACATGCAGAATCATGTCAAGAATCCAGTATCGGATGGGAGATGCCCTCAGCATGACTATATTTTCCACCTCATCCTTCAACAAGCTTGGGGTTCCACCTGGTGCACCTCCCAAACGACAACCCGATTACCATAGACTAGATACACTATTGAGTATTGACAATCAACAAGCAGTCCAACTTCAGCAGCAGCCACTTGAAGAACTTCTGCATCGGCTGGTAGGATAAGCTATATAACCATGACCACCCACTTTCTGATTAGAACAATCATGCCTTATCATGCTGCTTACTGGAAGAATTATTTGGAGACAAATGAATATTAGAGTGAATATGATTATTCTCATCTCACCTCAATCTGGTTATTTTCAACAGCCAGGAAATTCCTAATTCGGCTACATGATCAACAGGGTTATGATTCAACACCTTCCTATGGAACAGTGAACAAACTGTCACAAGAAGGATCTGCCTCTGCTTATTGTGCACAGAGCGCCTCCACTAACACCCCCATCTCAGGTCAGCCTTTTAATAGCAAGACAAGGTATCCTACTGATCGAACAAAATCATCTGGTTATGACAATTCTCCACTGGCAGCTAGGTACAGGAGCAAACCTGCGGCTCTGAATCGATATGGCCAAACAACACAACTGATCCATCCTAGTTAGTTATGGGCAGCCTTCACAGATGCAGAAGTCGCCATGTACTCCGGTTGTCAAGCAGACTATATGCAGATGGTTGTAGGCAAAAGCGGTCCTGTGGACTGCCGCCGCATAGCCAACCAGGTTATAGTCAGCAGCAGCAGCCATTGACTCATGGTGATGATGGTTATTCACAGCCTCCTGCATATCCTCAAGGACAATGATACTCTTTTTTATGCTTCTACTGCTGCACCAATTGTTTCAAAAGTAATTGTAAGCAAGGCACTCCCAACCTGATATTGCCCAGTAAGTCCTTTGTAGGGTTGTGGCCCTTGTGGACCATTTTATCATTGTGCTGGTTCAGTATCTAAGTGTTAATGATAACGGGGCTTTGTATTGTGTTTTACAGCTTTCCAATGATGTGATTTAGATTATCAGATTGCTGGTATGTTTTGTTGTCTTTTATGCTAACTCATCAACATGCAGAATGAAGTTATCTGGTGATAAAAGACTTGGCAACTTCGATATTTAGGATGTATTAGAAGCTCCTGTGAATTATAGTCAATAGGCACAGACGTAAATAAATTTATTTGGTGGCAGATTTACAGCCAGTTAGAGCCTATTTGTTTGGACCACATGTTTGTGGCGAGTCTGATCTTGGTAGGAAATTTCTAATTTTATGTTTGACAGTGTTATGCATTGTCTGTTCAAGTAGCAGTTCAAGTTCACCTTTTGTGGTCTGAGTGGTACTGTCCTGCACTAATTTTTAGTACTCCCCATGTTCCTGCTTTTTATCCACGTTGTTCTGTATCACAGTTTGCCAATCTGTTTGCAGCGGCTATGGGATCCTAAAGATGTCTTTTCTAAAAGTGATGGGGTAGAGATTGTTATGCCTTTTCTTGCAGCTTCCTGGAGCTGTTTCTTTAGAAGAATCTTTTCTTTTGTGCAGATGTTTGGAACCGAAAGATTCTGCATAATCTCTAGAAGGTATAAGATGACATCCTGCTATCTCTTTGCACTAATCTGCTGAAAATTCATTATGATCTGATTTTGTTGAATGAACTGTCTTAATAATCTGTTGATTTAGGTCTTACAAGTACAAACTTTTCTCTTCTTGGACTAGGATTTCTTTCTCAACACTGACCTTTGATAAGTCTGTCTTTGGTGTTCCTTGCAGGGGAGAATTGGCCGATGTGGTTTTGAGTTAATGATCATTTTATTGCTATCAAAAACTTGCATAAACCAGAAGATCATCGTCTGTTGCATGGGACAGCCCACGCAGGGTGAAGTGTTTCAACTCTCGCAAAATCTTATACAGAAGGTACATATCTTCCATTCGAGGACAGCATCCGAGGTTCATAACCTTTGTTATGTTTGCGTGGCTGGTAACATCTTTTTTGGCATCCTATGCGCCTGCTTGGTCTGTTCATGTTTCTTAATGACTTAAATTCTGAAATATTCTAGTTCTTAATTCATGTGTGACAGCAATGATATGATCACTCTTCCATCTATCTGACAGATCCGACACTGATTATTCTCATCAGTATGTCCATAAATTTTGTTTATCCATCTGGTAGTAGTAATCTATGTCAGGCATTGCAAGTTCCAGTATTCTTTTAAAGCATTTATACTGTAAATTCATGATCAATGGTATTTTATAAATACGAGTGTTTGGATGGTTGAAAAATAGCATATATAAAAAGTTTATATCAGTATTAAATAAAAACGTATTTTAAAAGATGTGAAATTATTATTATTAATGGTATGAAAATAAACAAGTTTTAAAAAGTAATTAAAAATTGAATATGACTCCTTAGGTGTGTGATATGAAAAAGTTGCAGTGGATAATAAATTGATGTGTTTGATCTTTGCCCTTTCCTTTCTTCAGTGTTATCGTCTGTCAACTAAATGCAGGTGATTTCTTGGACTCGCATGATATCTACAAACCAAGGACTGGTGACAATGGCCATTTCTCGGAGTGGCGACTGCAATGATAGCCCACATGGTCAGTGTACGCCCTTTTCTCCTCTGCCTGAAGTGACTAATCCTTTCTTCAATTCCAAGGCTTTGTTGGCGCAGCACAGTGGATTAGTATTCATCTTCTGCACCCAATGTCTCGGCTTTCACCGACAACTAACTGGAGGTGTTCGAGCTGCTTTGACCTGCAGTCCCCAACGAAGCTCACTTGCAGAATGGAAGGTAATCTCTTGCCCTTATCAGTAACCAAATGGAAGTCCCATTACCGTATTCTTATTCTCCTGTGTTCATTTAATGCTAACTTAAATGTTGAGTATACCCTTCATTCCCACCAGCCTCTCTGCAAGTACACTTCAAATCTCTTGCCAAATCAGAACACAGCAACTAGACCAAGAATAGATATAGAGAGAGACCAGTGTCACTGTCATTGGCACAACTAAGCAACAGATTGGAGGAAAGTAATTAAGTTTTCGTGTCAATCTCTCTTTTGTTCCTGGCATCCAACTCCCTAGTTCAACTTTTTCTTGCGTCTGAAGGCTTTCCCACCTCCTGCTCATCCTTATGCCATATATAATCACCACTAAACAGAGCCCTTCCATTTCTAGGGAGAGGAGAGAGGTAAGAGTATGAGCTCCGGGTGCAAGTCTTCTGTGAGCTGCGTCGACGCACGTCGGCCGGCTAGACCAACCTATGTCAACCTCTACAGGTGGCCGGAGTCCGACGCCGAGTTCGTGAAGTCGATGACAGGAGGAAGGGACGAGAGAGTCGGTGATGACAACCTCGTTGATGGGAGGAGGAGGTGGAGTCCGAGCCCAAGGGTGGTGGATAGTTACTCATGCCGGCAGATGTACCTAAGGAGCTACACCTTCTCCAAGGAGGAGACCGCCACGGAGAAGGCACGACAGTGCCTCGGCAAGGCTAAGCGACGAGCTGTCGTCCTGTTCCCTTTTCTCCAGCAGAAGACCGAGGGCCGCAGCTGTGTTCCTGCTCATGCTGATACCAAGATGAGCAGACGTAGCAGCAGGAGGAAGGAGAAGAAGCGAAAGGTCTGCGGAACAGATAAGAAGCCAAGAGAGATCTCTTACTCCGCACTGTTCTCCATTTTCTTCCGGTTCCTCTTCTGCACCTCCAGCGTCGAAGTAGTCGACAGAAGGTGAATCAGATCAAAAAGGTTGATGATAAACTCTTTTCCAGCTCCAAAGAAGGTGAGTTCTTGGATCTCTTCTATCTTATATTCTACTCTCAAAATTACGTGTTTTGCATCTATCTTACTAAAGATCAAAACTAAGAGTGAGAAAGAGTCTTAGTGTTTCCAGTTCCTGCTTGATCAAGAGACTCAGCAAAACTGTTTTCATACTCAGCAGTGCCAATTTCTTGTTATATTTCTTTTGTACATCCAATTCAAGTCCCCAGTAAGGTAAAGCAAAAAAACACCATGCGCTTGATGTACAGGTTAGTGAGAGAACATGTGCTCCTCTCTCTTTCTCACAGACATCATGCAAATTCTACTCGTTAGTGAGAGAATATGAGAATACAAAAAGGCATGCATGCATTGCAGCCTGCTGTCGACAGAGGTCTCTGTTTTAAGTGGGCGGCCAATAAAGTTGTGGCCGGTCTCATGGGGGGTGGAGGCTGTTACCATAGGTCTCCCTGAGGAAGGTTCTTGGTGTTGTGCCTCGCATGCTTGGAAAGTGATTGGTCCTCCCTCACTGTCTTCATCTGGTGGTGGAATGGAGATTCAGCTTCCAATTTGCTGGCTACAACTGGGATGGGTGGGTGGGTGGGTTAGGTCAGGTTCAAGGTAAATCCTAGTTTAACTTATCCTCCTTCCTTATTCCCAATCCTAACCTTGGGTGGAGTCATTTTTCTTAATCATGATCTAACCAGACAACTTGACTGGGGATAAGCTTGGGTGGTTTGAAATGGATAGGATTGGGTGGAGGAACCCAATCTTTTCCTGTTGTCCACCAGTCATTACAATTTTTCTTCCAATGCTATGATGGTGTTCTTCACCTATTTATTTGCCCACCCTTCCTTTCTTCCATGGGAGTGCAATGTTTCACATCTCAACTTTGGATGGATATCAAAACTATATGCCTCCTGTGGATGCCATAGCAACCAGCCATGGTGGCCACAGGATGAAAGAAAAATAGAGATGAAACTGTTGATGCTTTTTTGAACTGTCATGTCAATTCTTTTATGATTCTGGAATTAGGCAAAACTGAAAAAGACAACAATTACATATCTCTATATTTAAAGAGACTATTTTCAGAGAAGAGATGATGCCACAGCTTATGAGATTTGTTGAGAACATATGGACAGGTTGGAAGAGATGATGGATGAGCCCAGAGGAATATTTCCAATGTTAATCTTCTTTATCAAAACACCTTTCCCAGGTTATATTTGAAATATTGATCCCATATGTAATTTATGCCAAGCACACCAAATTCAGAATGCTAATTCCATGTTTTCATGCATTCAAAGGGATCATTGCTTGTAGTATCAAAACATAAGGTTAGCTATTACAGATTTGAGGCATGTTAGACATGAAACCATCAGCTTCTGCAAGGAAATGAACCAATAAAAAGGGCATTATTGTATCAGTGAAACAACTAAGTTCAGGTTGAGCTGAAGCAGAAAGATAATTCCAAGGAAAAGCACCTCTGAATTGAAGTCTTTACTGAATTAGAAGATGAAATCGATGAGACATCGGTTAATAGATCATCTATCTCATTCCATCATACAAGTTCTTCCAAGTGAAGCTGCTCTTCCTAAACAAAGTGTATACGCTTTTATTTTATTAGATAGCCAGCATAAACTACCTAATTTATCTGATGAACTTGGCCATGATTATAACAAAAGGAGAAAGAACAGTAGCATACACTGACATATAGCTGGGACACAATCAAGTCATGCAGCCTTTGCTTTTTCACTTTTCTTCTTTTTTTTTTCTCCAGTTAAAAGTCAGAAAAAATCCCCACTCGAACTTTACTCACCCATGTTCTTGGCATTTCAAAAGGAAAAAGAGTGATGTGCCACTATTAATCCTGCAATCCCCAGTGATCACATGTTTAATACTTAAAGAGCTGCTATTAAGGAATCATCAATACTCCTTGCTCTTTCATGCTTGCCATCACACACCATCATCTTCAACTCATCAATTCCATCAATATTTTTAAGAACTTTCACTAGAAATTTTTTTCCTTATTTTGATAGATCCCCTTAATCTTGTTGAAGTCAACTCAATGCCATCTCTCACTTCTTTCAACAGGTTTCAATTCAAGGAAGCAGAATATACCAAGGAATTGTTTGAAGAAAATGTGTCTTAGTCTCTTTTGCCAACAACTAGTCAGTGACTTGATCCATTAAACATTGAAACGGACATAATGCATCATCAGATATGTGTCCCTGCGTTATTGGACCCAAAACATTTTACAATGGAGGTCAGCATTAAGAAGCGTGCACGTGATATCATCACACCAAATAAATTTACTGATATAACCCTGCATGATGCCTCCCGGAAATTTCCTGAAGTCGCCCTTTATTTATTGCCCATAAAAAATATTGTGCGACGGCCAATAAAATAAAGCTGATTAGGCCTCGGTTCCTGTGACCGGAGGTGGCGTCGGGGCCCGCGAGGACCCCATTGCAGGACAGATAGGTGAACACGACGGGTGACCGAAACGGGGGTGACGTGAGTGTGTTTACGGGGATCGGACTTACACCGCCTTGAATGTGGGTCCCACGATGGTTTTACGGGTGTGATCACGACGTAGATGCAAACGGGGTAGATGGTGATGAGTGCTCGTGTTCGTTTCGTTGGGAGTCTAGCTGGCGGAGACGGCGTTCTATTTAGGGCGAGCGATCGGGAGATCGCTTCGCCTGAGGGTTTTCTCTTTCGTGTCGAAAGCGAGAAAGGAAGAAGAAGTGAGGGAGGGATTCGGAAGCGAGAGAACCGCAAGCGAAGAAGTCTTCTTCGTGTTGGGTGACGAATCCCTGGTGCCCTTTTCCCTCTCTCTCTGTCTCTCTCTCTCTCTCGGCTTCTCTTTGCGGGTCGGTGGGGTCGGACTTTTGAGTCGGTGAGGCATGAAATGGCGTTGTCGGGAAGCATGGATTTGAGGGTTTTGTAGGATAGATTTGGTTTTCGCTGGGATTGTCGGTTGGGGCGGCGTGGGGATGGGGAAAGGAGGGCAGGATGACGGGAAGAAGGGTGTTGAGACGCCGATCTCGAATTTTCCCGCCTGGGCGAGGAGTGTCCAGGAGTGCGAGGCCGAATTCAAGGTTTCGGCTAAGTACGGGCTCCGATCCGACGAGGTGCTGACGCGGCGGGAGATTTATGGGCTGAACGAACTCGAGAAGCACTCTGGGCCATCGATCTGGCATTTGGTTCTTGAGCAGTTCAAGGATACGCTGGTCCGGATCCTCCTTGTGGCCGCCGTCGTTTCCTTTGTGCTGGCTTGGTGCGATGGCGACGAAGGTGGTGAGATGGGGATCACTGCCTTTGTCGAACCCTTGGTGATCTTCCTTATTCTGATAGTGAATGCAATCGTTGGTGTTTGGCAAGAGAACAACGCCGAGAAAGCACTTGAGGCCCTCAAAGAAATCCAGTCCGAGCATGCCACCGTTAGAAGGGACGGTGAGCTAATTCCAAATCTGCCTGCTAAGGAGCTTGTGCCAGGTGACATTGTGGAGCTCAAGGTTGGGGATAAGGTTCCTGCGGATCTGAGGATTTTGCACCTGATCAGCTCTACTGTGAGGGTAGAACAAGCATCTCTTACCGGAGAGAATGCTGCCGTGAATAAAACCAACCATGTAGTTGAGTCTGAAGACATAGATATCCAAGGGAAGGAATGCATGGTCTTTGCAGGTACTACAGTTGTGAATGGCAGCTGTGTGTGCTTGGTTACACAGACCGGCATGAACACTGAAATTGGTAAGATACATTCGCAGATTCATGAAGCTTCACAGAGTGAAGAAGATACGCCACTGAAGAAGAAACTGAATGAGTTTGGTGAGGTCCTTACAGCTATCATCGGTGTGATTTGTGCTGTTGTTTGGCTTATCAATGTGAAGTACTTCTTAACCTGGGAGTATGTTGATGGCTGGCCGAGTAATTTCAAGTTCTCTTTTGAGAAGTGTACTTATTACTTTGAGATTGCTGTGGCCTTGGCTGTTGCAGCAATCCCAGAAGGGTTGCCTGCAGTTATCACTACTTGCTTGGCATTGGGTACACGGAAGATGGCACAAAAGAATGCATTGGTCCGGAAGCTACCAAGTGTTGAGACTTTGGGTTGCACAACTGTGATATGCTCTGATAAGACTGGTACATTAACCACAAACCAGATGTCTGTCGTAAGGCTTGTTGCAATGGGGCGCTGGACAGATACACTTAGAACATTCAAAGTGGATGGTACCACATACAATCCTCGTGATGGGAAGATCCATGAATGGCCATCCAGTGATATGGATGCAAATCTTCAAATTATTGCTAAGATTGCAGCTGTTTGTAATGACTCGAGCATCAGTCAGTCAGGACATCACTTTGTCACCAGTGGTATGCCCACGGAGGCAGCCTTGAAGGTAAGAATCCATATATTTCCCTTTCATTGCAGTTTTTCCTTGCTTGCTCTAGTTTGATGCTGAAGCACCTGTTCCTGAAAATTTAATATGGATATTGAAGCAGAATTATCCTTGAATTGGAAAGCTAGAGTCCTTATTTAGGTAAAATATAATGGACTACATAATCATGTGAAGAGAACTGGAAATCAAATAGAAGATCAATTACACTGTATCTAGATCCTTTTGTAAGTGCATATGTGAAATATAAAATGCACTGGTGAGTAGCTTTCTTGTCTGTTTGTTCTTGTTCTGAAGCCATTCAGTTAGTTGTTAAATATGCATACCTATATTTTAGCTGTTTGTGTTAGATTTATTCTGGATGTGACTTTGGAATAGTAAATGTAATTCATATTTTTAGTTTTGATATATACTTGATCTTACTCTGTTGATAAATTAATTAATTATATATATATATATATATATATATATATATATTATATCAGGTCTTGGTTGAGAAAATGGGTCTTCCTGGCGATTGTGATACTTCATTGGTGGACTCGGATGACATATTAAGTATGTTTCGAGCCTCAAATTTCAGTTTGCATTAAAATGATCTAATTATGATACTTTAATCCACGTTTGCTTATTTGCCTATAAATGATTATGATATTCTTTTTAAATGGAAGAGTGCTGTAAATGGTGGAATGAAATGGCTCAGAGGGTTGCTACTCTTGAGTTTGATCGCATTCGAAAGTCGATGGGAGTTATTGTTAAATCAAAGTCAGGAACCAACTGTTTACTTGTAAAGGTATTTTCCCCTCCTTTTTCTGTCTAATCAATTTGTTATCTTAATGGTGTTTTTATTAATTATGGTTTGAGAAAAACTTTGTTTTGTTCAGGTGAAACTGGCCTAAAGGGACTTATAGTAGGAGTAACTGATGGACAACTAATCATTTTGTCTTCATGTGTCTGTCTACATTGAGAATGTTGACCCCATTGTTCAACTGACGAAATAACTTTGACACCTTATTCATAGAAGATGTTTTATTGCCTTTACTCCCTGACCCTAGCATTTTGTCTTCTTTGTCCAAGGAAAAGAGCTATATTTTACACTTTGAGAAACACTTAATTTTGTTGGGCACACTGAAAGGGATTTATTTTCATTCTTTTTTATCACTTTATTTCCCAGCCTTATACTGGATTGCCATTCCTCCAATGGTTGATTTAGATATTATACTTGTTCTGCATGCTTGATGTACTGCTATTTGAAAAAGTTATTAAAATATAATTTCCAAGTCCCTCTCATGTTTTGTTATTTGTTTGTAACTGCAGTTAACTCCCTGTGAATGGAAAGTCTTTAGAATAATAAATAATTAATGTTGCATTGTGGCAGGGTGCTGTAGAAAATTTGTTGGAAAGAAGTTCCTACATTCAACTGCTTGATGGATCTGTAGTCCTGTTAGATGACAGGTCAAAAAGTCTGATTCTGGATGCTCTTCATGACATGTCAACAAATCAATTGCGCTGTTTGGGATTTGCTTATAAGGATGATCTAACAGAATTTGCAACATATGATGGTGAAGACCACCCGGCTCATAAACTTCTTCTTGATCCGTCAAATTATTCATCCATTGAGACTGGTCTCATATTTGTTGGACTAGTAGGGCTTAGAGTAAGACATCTTGCTTCACTGAACATCTTCTTTAGCCTCTGTTGGCACCATTGACATGTCTATATGCTTTTGAAACCATTATAGGATCCTCCACGGAAAGAGGTCCACAAAGCAATTGAAGATTGTAGAACAGCTGGCATCCGAGTTATGGTCATAACTGGAGATAACAAGGAAACAGCTGAAGCAATTTGCCGTGACATAGGTGTATTTACACTTGACGAAGATATACATTCAAAGAGCTTCACGGGCAAAGATTTTATGTCTAGATCGTCTAATGAGAAAAAGTCCCTTTTGAGGCAAAATGGTGGCCTTCTCTTTTCTAGAGCAGAACCAAGGCATAAACAAGAGATTGTGAGATTGCTGAAAGAGGATGGCGAGGTAGTTGCAATGACGGGGGATGGAGTGAATGATGCCCCTGCATTGAAAATGGCAGATATTGGTATAGCAATGGGCATTGCTGGGACAGAGGTATGTGCTGCACTCTTTCTTGTTTTTCTTTTTCTGCTTTCCATTGGCTTTATATTTTGTCTAGATTGTCATACCCAAGTAAGAAATTGTCCCACTATCTATGAGATTTATTGAAAATATGTTAATCTGTAACTATGCTTGGCGAGGATGGATAACTAGTTAGAGCTGTAAGTGAGGTAGTGTAATTGTAGACAATAATGAGCAACTTAATGTTCATACGGCACTGGAAGTTGATGGATATTCTGGACCTTTTATGTCAGCTTTGCCCGTTCCTATTTGTTCTGACCAACATCCTATGTTCACATGTAACCCATTTCCTGGTACTGGACACTCCATCTTTGCCAGATGAAATTGATTTTTTTTTTCCCCCTCTTTTGCCAACATGTTAAATTATCATCCAGTTGCAATTACTTTATCAGAGAATATCGTAATGTGATTGTGGTGTAATTGTGAAGATAGAGTATCTTTTGAAACTAAACTTTGTTTATGTCTAATTGTGTCAGTTTTGCATCTAATTTTGGATATTTTGTTCCACTCTTATTTTATATTCTGTTTGTCATCTTGAGACCTTGATCCTCTTAAACAAAGGTCATTTGCGTTTTTAAAAGATTGTGTTACCCTAACCATACTAATTCATGGCAACAGCTGTCTTAACATTGCTTTATTTCAGGTTGCTAAGGAAGCCTCAGACATGGTGCTAGCAGATGATAATTTTAATACAATAGTTGCAGCAGTTGGTGAGGGAAGATCAATTTACAACAATATGAAAGCTTTCATAAGGTCTTATCTTTTTTATTTAATATAGTATTCAATCTGTCAATTTTACTATTAGTAAGAACTGTTATTGTATCTTCTTATCCAGAATGTCCCAACCAGATTTATGCATATAAGCTAGCTGAATGCTTTGTATAATTTGGCTAGTTAAATAGTACGAATGGTACTTTATGTTCTTGTGAATTTTCACTAGTAAAAATGTAATATATAGCGAAGCGTAAAACTTTTTTTTTGTTGTAAAATTGAAGTCTGTTTGCCATGGTGTTTAATAAGATAATAGTTGGGAGGACAAACACTAACATAAAAGGGTAATTCTGGTGGAATACTAGAACCTGAAAGGTGGGATTCGTTGTTATTATATCTCTTTTCTTAAATTTTAACTGTATCTTGGAAATAAATGAGAACTTAGATAATTCTACCATTAAGATAATTCATTATTTTAGTTGTTTCTAGATATTTTAGCAGTGTTGGGCCATGAATTGCAATTTACTTTGATCTGTTTGGTTGGTTATTTAGCCTCTATTCCTGGGCTTTTTAGTCATGGTTGGCATTGAATTTGATCGCTTAATGACCTTTTACGGGAAGGTATTAGTCTGACTGCTGGATCAGAGATGAATGGAATTCTCACAATCAAATTTTGTGCCCAGTCTGACATTTTCATTAGTTCCTAACACTATTCTTGTTTTTATCGTTTCTGTATGCTACTGCTGTTCTCTGCTGCAGAAATGAACCTGCAGATACTTACTCCACCAAGTAATTGGATGTGAGTCTGTCCTCTTGGTTTGGCCAACGGTAGTGCTTCAAATCAACTAATGAACATATGGGATTTTTTTTTTGTGGGTTTCCTTGATTTTATAATATACTATTGCTGTTTTCATGCAATACATGGACTCAAAATTCTGTTGGATGCCTAATTGCTGTTTAATCACTTTCTCTTTTTTTGTTTATGTTCATTTACGATTTTAGCTATGAATATCTCTCATTTTCTAACTACAGGTACATGATCTCCTCAAATATTGGTGAAGTTGCTTCCATTTTTCTTACGGCGGCTTTAGGTATTCCTGAAGGGTTGATACCAGTTCAACTTTTGTGGGTCAATCTTGTCACAGATGGCCCTCCTGCAACTGCTCTTGGATTCAACCCACCTGACAATGATATTATGAAGAAGCCACCTCGTAGGAGTGATGATTCATTGATTACTGCATGGATTTTATTCCGTTATATGGTAAGTCATCTTTTATCTTTTTTTTATGCTATGCATTAACTTGTTATGTGTTTACTTGTATGTCTCATGGCCTAGGTTGTTTCTGTGGTGAATTGCTTATTCTTTTTTTCTTTCAACTCTGAAATTCTAAGGTCCCATTGTGATTCTTTCTTTTTTCTTAAGAAAACCTGGAAATGAATGCAATTTAGTTTATTATTTTATTGATAATTGCCTTGAAGCATTTTTTTCATTTCTAAAAATTTCCAATAACTGTCTTAGCATGATAACCATCTTTTAGACCCTGCAATCTAACGTCTGGTGATTTCCTTCCTTCGACCTTTGACCACATTTCTTCTCCAAATTGATATCTTGATAAGTTGATTACCATCTGTGTTTTCTATTATTAGTATTTTTGCAAAAAGATGCATGGATCCTATAAATGAATGAGATGAGGTTTTTGTTGATCTTTGATGCCTAAGCGATGTATGATAATCCTCATGTTTAATAAAGAAGGGTAATTTCACTTTGATTTTTAACTCCAGCAAATTTTGAGTTAAATTTTAGCCTCTGCATCTTTTATATCCAAACAATTAAAACATACCAATAGTTGTTATTGTTGTTGTATATACATGTTATAGGTATAAAACCTATACAGGCATCTGCCAGGGAAAGGATGTTAAGATGCCTGTTAAAATTAGGGGGCTAAAGTTAAAGAACCTAAAACTTAGATAGCAGGAATAATGTTTTGATCAACTGGGCTTTTTTAATTATAAGCCGTCCCTGCATGGTATTGTCATCATTTATAGTTCAATGGGTTCCCATCGAATGGTGAGGTGTCATCTCATTGCAGTTAGTTATTTTTGTACATTACATGTAACACTCTTTTTTTTATTTCAAAGATTCAGACCTTTTTAGTGGTTGGCTGTAGATGCAAGACTAGTTTTAACTTGTACTATGAATATATTTTAGCCAAAATATTTGATTCTACTGACCTATTTAACTCCATATATAGGTCATCGGACTTTATGTGGGGATTGCCACTGTGGGTATCTTCATTATATGGTATACTCATGGTTCTTTTGCGGGCATTGACTTGAGTGGTGATGGCCATACTCTTGTAACCTATTCTCAACTCTCTAATTGGGGAGAATGCTCCTCATGGGAGGGCTTCAAGGTCGCACCATTCACTGCTGGAGCACGGAGTTTCACCTTTGATGACAATCCCTGTGACTACTTCCAGACCGGCAAGGTGAAGGCTATGACCCTTTCGCTGTCTGTCTTGGTGGCGATTGAGATGTTCAATTCACTGAATGCATTATCCGAAGATGGGAGCCTTCTGAGCATGCCTCCCTGGGCCAATCCATGGCTTCTTTTGGCCATGTCCATCTCATTTGGGCTGCATTTCTTGATATTGTATGTCCCTTTCCTTGCTCAAGTGTTTGGAATAGTGCCTCTCAGTTTCAACGAGTGGCTCCTGGTGTTGGTGGTTGCATTTCCGGTGATCCTTATCGACGAGGTCCTCAAGTTTGTTGGACGCTGCACAAATTCTTCAGGTGCCAAGAGACGCCCCACAAAGCACAAGGATGAGTAGATGCTAGCATATAAGATTCATATTGTGAATCATATTTGACCAAGGTGGTCGTTCTGATTCTTTTCTTTCCTCCTTTTAAGTGGGTTGTTTGAGAATCAGGCAACCAGGGCAACATTCAAAATTAGTTTGGCTGGCGGTACTAGTATTGGATTTAGATATTTACCATTGATTCTTAAACACATCTTTTATGAATCTGGAATTATACCGGAACCCTTCTGTAGTAGTAATTATGAGCTGGAATTACGAATCTGGAATTATGCTCGTCCGTTTAATATACTCTTCAGTGAAGGATCGACATTAATTTTAAATATATTTTTGTTTCTCAGATACAAATTATGTTGTTTCAAGCGTGCTGCTGCTGGTGGAGCATTTTTGGTTTCCAACTCTGAAACTTCGCCTTGGTAATTACCTTGAATTCCTTCTTCCTCCTGTTATAATCACCTCTGCGCAAACGACCAAATGGGAAGCGACCACTGTTCTGAGGGCTGCCGCTTATTGGGAAAATGTCGGGCATCAACAGCAACAGTGGCTTCCGCACCTTACATGATTCCAACCACAGCCGTTGTTGATACGCCGCCTCTCGTTCTCCAAGCGCGTAAAGCCAGACGCTGCGTTTGGCTACCTGTGTCTCGTCGACGTCAAAGACCTCGACACTGCGTTTGCCGACTTGTGTCTCGTCGAGGTCAAAGAGCTTGTCGGCGCAGGATGACCTTAGAGAAGTCTTCGACTTCCGAGATTCCCCTGGTAGCAATGCCGACGTGCGCATGTCACAACAGTAGGGATCGATTGTTGGTTCTATACGTGTGCCTGATGATGAACCATGGATTCTGCATCATGCGGATGCAGAAGCATTTTTTTAAAAAATAAACTTAAAATTTATTAAAATATATGAAGTTCATTAGATGACTAAAAGATCATTTCCATAAATATAGAATGACTGAGGAGAGACATTTCTACGTAGATGAGTGGTGCATGGTGTGAAGTGAAATTTTGATTGAATATGAGACTTTTCCTCCACCTCATTTCCACCGCCTCTCTGTCAGCCACACTTCAGTCATGAGACTTTTCTTCTTGCAGAATGTTCCTTTAATTGTAGGTATGCCTCTTCTTCTTCGTAGTCTCCACCGTCCATGGCTAGGCACCTCAAGACCTCCCTTCTCTCGCTGCTTCCTCTCCTCGTCGTAACTGTTTCAGCTGGTGGTATCATTCCTTCTCCTATGGAGCTAAGATTGCTGCCGCTATGACGCATTCTAACCCTTTCCTGCTCTGTGACCTGCAGTGTTCCTCAGCATCGACTGTGGATCTTCGGAGTCGTTCACCGACGAAAGAAACATCGAATGGGTAGGCGACAACTTGTACATCGGGCAAGGCCGAAGCGTCGTCTTCGGGAACCGCGGTTTGCTCTCGCGGGTCATGACCACACTCAGAGTCTTCGAATCGATGACGAAGAGCTGTTACCGGATCGACGTTAGCGGCGGCAGACGAGTGCTCGTCCGTGCCAGCTTCAACTACGGGAACTACGACGGGAAGTCATTTCCTCCAAGCTTCGGTCTGCAGTTCGGCGCCAACGACTGGGACACGGTGGTGACGTCGCTGGATCAGCCGGTCTCGCACGAGGCGATCTACGTGGTGGGCGGCGACGCCACCAGCGTGTGCGTCGCCCTGACGCTGACGAACCAGTTCCCGTTCGTGTCCACCATCGAGGTCAGGAGCTTGGAGTGGAGCATGTATGCCCATGTCGACCCCAGCCGTGCGCTATTCCTGCGAAGAAGGGAGGCCTTTGGTGCACAGCAAATCGTGAGGTACAAGGATGATGTCTATGACCGTATATGGACCCCAAGCATAAAATCGAACGGGTGGACAGCACTCGCGAGTGATACAAGTTTCAACGTCCCGGCTTTAGAGGATAAGCCCCCAGCGTTGGTGCTACAGACTGCAGTAGCACCCACCCAACTATCGAACTTGTCGATTCCTCTCACTAATCTATCAACATCCACAGTAACAATCTACATGAACATGTACTTCTCGGAGATGTCCGAACTAGAGTCCACTCAGATGCGTTCCTTCGAGATCTATGTCGACGGCGTGAATGTTTCAGCACCTGTAAGCCCACCTTATCAGGATTTCATCGAGTTATCCTTTGCTAACATTACAGCAAACTCCAACACAGCCATCGAGTTGAGGCCCACGGCTGACTCCACGCTTCCGCCAATCATCAGCGCCATGGAGGTTTTCCTTGTCAGTGCGGCTCTGAGCAATGGAACCAATGCAGACGACGGTACGTCTTTGATCGAAACTTCATCCAATGTTGATAGCCGATGCTCAATCAAGCGAATACGAATGCTAAAAACTCCTGATTTCAACATGATAGTGAACGCACTTGGGACTATTGTCGTTGTCGCTGGAGTCTTGTTCGTGCTCCACCACCGCAAAAAGAATTGAGAAGTAAGGAATATTCCCATCTATGTGAAATAGTTTATTCCTTTTTTTTACCTGATTTTATTATATCTGCATCATTTTAAATACAATCAAATTAGTTAATCAATAGGTTTTATTAATTTTAAAAGATTATTTTTAATATTATTATTATTATTATTATTGAATCTTGTAACTAATCAAATTACTCCCTTTCTCCTATATAATGATAACGATGCCTCCCCCCTAAGAGCGACACCGACACCGGGTTAGCGCAGCAGGAGGTGAAATGTAGGTACTCCGACGATTCATTTTATTGCTATATAAATAATATATTTTTTAGTTATGATAGGTATAAATATGATTTAGACCCTTGGTAAAATTTTATAAATGTTTAGAATTATTTTATTATTGTTTACAAATTTTTTTTATCTCCCATGTGTTTTTAGAATAATTCATAACCATTAATCGAGAATTTTTGTGAATGATAAAGATTTTTAGTTAAATTTATTGAGTAGTTTTTTATTTGTTCATGAAAAATGGATTTTATATTCTGTTAGATCATCATGCCTCTGTATTAAATAGTTATATAGTTTGCAGTCCATTATTGGAACCCCCTAATTTGCTGGTTTTGTAATTTTTTGAAAACCTTTTTGGAATTTTTATGATTTTTTTTTTCAAAATTTTGTAAAGAAAAAGAATTCATTGAAATTAAAATTGATCTAACCTGGGTCCGAAATGAATTGAATCGGAACCTAGGCTCTGTCGAACCTAGTTTCACGGTGTGGCTTGACTCGGGTCGAGCTACGGTTCAGTTGGACTCAGCTTGGATCCTACTATGTCGGTCTGGCGTATGTTCCACGGTCGGTGTGGGGCTACTCGGCTTCATGAGTTGTTGGCGAGACCCAATTCGCGTAGGCCCAATGCGGCCTATAGGCCACGACTTGATGCGAGAGGTGGTGGTCCGGTGTCTGTGGCCCAAACATGGCCCGGCGTTGCAGCCTTGCCCGGTGCCTTTTGTCCCCAAGGGGATTTGGCCCAAACATGCCTGATCTATTTCAAACCTTTGCTAGTATGGATTTGGGCTTAAATTGGCCCAGTAGTCTTGTTTTGACATGATTTATGAGTTTGGACGATCTCTAAATTACACCTAAACTGAACCAGTTTGACTTATTCTGATCGGTTCAAATTGGATCTAATCACATCCAAATTCGATCTTATGAGGATAATTGTAGACCAATCTATAAGGATTTTAATGTGGTTCAATTAGACTTTGGTTGGATTGATTCTGGTTCAAGTCTCTTAGACCGATTGAATTGAGATTAAAATCGATTGAGAATTAATTAGGATAGGATTTTTTATATTAATATTGTTTAATAATTTTTGGACTAACAGACAAAGATATGATTTTGATATGACAAGAAAAAGTCAAAATATGGTATATAGATTTCCTTCGAAGATATTGCGGACTATCACTCATGGTAATTAGATGGTTTTTCTATCGAATATGTCCTCACTTTATTGAATTAAGGATATCACTTTTATTTATTATTGGGAGTACGATATGAATTCATTATCGATTGTTAGGATAAAATCTATCTTCATAAATAAAACATCTTTGTTCACTAATACTGATTTGATATGAGATCTAATACTGATTCTTGTTTTGATTGATGCTAGTAAGATCGATTTATGAGACTTGTGACTATCTATTTATGGTTGATTTTGATTTATAGGTTTTGCATTTATTATATTACTATTTTCGTATATGTTTTGAAAGAATGTATAGGAGGTTCCTACTTAATTTTGTTGATTATTTATTTATATATATATTTTTTAAAATAGTTATCTAATCCTGTTATAGATATTGATGTAGAGAGCAACATTATTTATCACTAGATAGAGACGCACGTCGAGATACTTAGATTTATATAGTTTTTTGAACTAAGAAAGCTTAATTTTTATTTTTTCTAAGATAATATTATTTAGAAATATTTTAAAACTTAGTTTGAATAAAGTTATTAATTAGCTTTATCATCTGAGTTGTGATTACGTGAAAAGTACATCACATTTGGTACATGTAATAAAAAAAATTACGAGATATGACTTTTTTTTTTATATGATATTATGGTTGATGACTTATAGGGTTTAGGGCCCTAGAATTAGTATCAAGCATAATTGAAAACTTTAATTTCTCAATAATATTGGTTAAATAATTTGTTGATAGGTGATCAAGTATTTAGATATTATATTATTATCATGTTTTATCATTAAGTTAAATAAAGACCTAGAGCCTTCGATTCAGACAATATTTGTGGCTATTTGTTGATCTTATTTTGTTAGAATTTGAAGACTTCTATACTATTTTAGATATAACTATTGTGGCTAACCAAATATTTAGACTAGTTTGTAACCTATGCTAGCATTGATTGTTTTAAAAAATTAAAACTTTTCTTCTATGTGTCCGTCATCTTTTTAATTTACTATAACCTTCGAGGATATTTCTTCTTTCATCTTAGCATTAGATGTTTGAAGACCGTTAAGAAAATGATGTAAAGAGTTTTTGACTTTCATTTTAGATAAAGAATGTAGGAAGATATCCTTATTGTTAAAGATTTTTTAGATTTTCTTTTAAGGATTTTCTTAGATTGCCTCCCGATAGGTAGATTGAATTTAACATCAATCTTCTACTTGGCATTATACTTATTTCTAAGCCTCCCTATAATATGATCCAGGTTGAACTACAGGAGTTGAAGAGGCAAATCTACGAGTTGTTAGATAATGACTTCATTCGGCATATTTATATACAATGCTTTGTTTTATTTGTGAAAAAGAAAAATGGATTGATGAGATTACGCATTAACTATAGGTAACTCAATTAAGTCATCATCCATAATAAATATTTTTTTTTAGATAAATGATTTATGATCTTCAAACATATTCAAAATTTAATCTAAGATCTCGATACAAAAGATTATCTTTAGAAAAAGATATAAATATTATAAAGTTTTTGGTGATGCCTTTTGGTTAAATAATACATCGATTGTTTTAATTGATGTTATGAATTCTTGATAAATTTATAATTATATTTATTAATGATATTTTGATTATTTTAAAAGTAATTAGAGTATAAACAACATGTTAAGGTGGTCTTTTAAGATTCCAAGGCATGAAAGACTATATGTCAAAGTTAAACAAGTATAACTTTCGGCTCAAAAATATTATGTTTTCTGTGGATGTGATGTATAGTGCAAATATATTTAGTAACGAATTAATGTTTTAGAAATCAGGAGCTTTATTAGATTGACTAGTTAATATAAAAGATTTGTTGAATGATTTTTAAAAGTAACAACTATTTGACAAGATTGACTTAAAAGACTCGTGAAAAGAATTATCTTACATATAGTCCATAATTAGTAGCTATTATTTTTATTTAAAAACCTATAGATAATATCTTTATGAGCAGATTGTCGAGATTTTTACTATTCTTAAATATCTCTTTACACAAAAAAAAAAAAAAAAAAACTTAGATGTGAGACTATGTAGATGGATGAATTTGAAAAAAAATTATGATTTTAATATTAATTATCGTCTTGGAAAGACCAATGTGATAGTTAATACTTTGAGTAAGAAGTTAGCTACTTTCATGACTCAATTAAACAGGTGGATTGAACAATTGAATAAAACATTTAGAGATTTCTTAGCATGTATGATAGCACAATTGGTGGCAAGAATTAAGGATGGTAAAAAAAAAAAAGAATACATCTAAACTATAGCCAAAGAGAATAATCAGGTCTTGATGATAGAATTTTGACTCGCAGATGATAGTTCCATCATATTTCAGAGATTAAGTTTATTGTTTACCATGATAATACTAAAAAATATCAAGATTTATAATAGGGATATTAGTAGAGAGACATGAAAATGGATATAGTTGAATTTATGTTCTAATGTCTTGATGTTTGAACACTAAGTACCCTTTAGAAAATTACACAAGATGCATATTCTCAAATAGAAATGGGAACAGATAAAAGCTAGTTTTTGATTTAGGATATTCAAGTGTTATGATTTTATTTTGGTGATTGTTGATTGATTTATTATATCTACATATTTTCTCTTAACTGATAAAGTATATTCCCTAGATTACCTAAGTCAGATCGGAATCTATGCTTTGTTAAACTTCGTCACACGATGTGGCTTAACTCATGTCCCGATTTGGGGAGGCCCGATGCATGCTAGCGTGGTCCAACATCTGCAGCCCAAGCAATGCATTTTTTTTCCTCTGCTGAATATGCTGAGCACATGAGCCCTATTTCGATTAATCTGACATGCCCTGTGTTAGTATATTTTTGGGCTTAGGTTAGCCTAATAGTTTTATTTTGTATTTTAACTTGTTTATGAGTTTGAGATCAATTAATCCTAAATTAAACTTGAGCATAACACATTATGATTGTTCAAAATGATTCTATATGGAAATAAATTAGTTTAAATAGTTTGACCTAAATTGGACCTAATCAAGTGTAAATTAGACTTGATTCAAGACTAGTAAGACTAGTAAGGGGGATCTAGATTCGCTCAATTAGATTATAGTTGGATTGAGTCTGATTTAAGGTTATTGGATGAATTCAGTTGGGGTTAAGACCAATCGAAAGGTAATTAGAGTATGATTTTTTATACTGATATTGCTTAATGATTTTCTTCATTAATGGATGTACATTGGTAGCACCACTTGGATACATGAGTTTGATATGATAAGAAGACTGGGATGATCCATTTTAATTACAAAAGGTCATTATATTGATTTCATTCATATAATTATTGTCAAATATGATAATTAAGTTAAAATGAAAGTGTCTTTATCTATCGTTGAGAATATAACAGCATGTAAAAGAGAAGAAAGAAAGAATGATTTCATTTGAGGATATAACATATCGTCAAACACGATAATTGAACAATTTCTTTATTGGGAGGAATATATTTTTACTTTGATGAGTGAGGGATATCACTCAACTGTTGGAATTCCGATATAGATTTACTTCATCCATTATTATGTGAGAATCCATTTTGAGAGATAAAATATTTTCATCTGCTATTTGAAGTATGCTCTATCGAGTGTTATGACCTATATCGTGCATTTGAGATCTAATACTTATTTATGTTTTGGATGGTATGATACGCAGTTGACTTTGATTTATTGACCTTATATTTGTTATGCCTTTTTTTCTTTTTTTGTATATGCTTTAAGAGGATTTACAAGAAGTTCATACTCATTTTTTGTTGATTACATATTGTTCATATTTTTCAGAGCTATTCCTGTTACGGATACCAACGAAGAGAGGAGCATTATTTATGGTTATGTGGAGCTGCATCGAGACACTCAGATTTATATAGTTTTAAGTTTAAGCAAAAAACAAATAATAAAGTTATTTAAAAATATTTCAAACTTTATTATATGCTGCTGCGGTTGTGAACACGAATAGTTAACTTTATTATATGCTTGAGTTGTGATTACGTGGGAAATATATTACATTTGGTCCGAGTGGTTCAAAACAAAATTACATCAAAGGATGATGTCACAAGAACTGCCCCATCGATTCTTGCCGATAGTGCAGCTATTCATTCTGATGCTTGATTCCATGCATGTATGTTTCGGCTGACACCTCGATCGAATGAATTCACGGTGGGACAGTAGAAGCTCAAGCAGTACCACCGCGTGTAAACGAAGAGGCAAACGACGTGGGAGTTAGCGGATCCGATGAAACAGTAGGCTCGAGCATTCCAAGATGGGACGAACGCTGACGCAGTCTGAGAACTATCGAACCAAGAAGAACTTGCTCTGAGATATCAGTGATGTCTTCAGCTCGTCTCCGGAATTCATGGTGTGACTCATTTCAAGTAGGGGAGAAGCATTACCGTGAATGGAAGACGTGTGACTCCAATGACCCAACTCCGTTGATGGAAGCGACCAACGGGGCAGCAAAACAAATAAAAACAACTTATGTCACGACCACAGTGGGAGTCGAACCCACGACCTTCTGATCCGAAGTCAGACGCGCTAATCCACTGCGCTATGCGGTCTTCATGTAAAGGCTGCTAACAAGATTATAGATAATAGTTTCTCATCTCGACCTATTTAAAACGACTGACATAAGTCGACCACAATGGGAGTCGAACCCACGACCTTCTGATCCGAAGTCAGACGCGCTAATCCACTGCGCTATGCGGTCTTCCTGGAAAGGCTGCTAACAAGATTATTGATAACAGTTATTTTTCTCGACATATTTCAAACGACTGACTTAAGTCGACCACAGTGGGAGTCGAACCCACGACCTTCTGATCCGAAGTCAGACGCGCTAATCCACTGCGCTATGCGGTCTTCATGCGCACTCTGCTAACAAGATTTTTCATAACTGGATTTTGTTGGCAGTTACGTTTCTTGCACTCAACTCGCTTCGTCTTCGCTTCCTCTTCTCTCTCTCTCTCTGTGCTTCCTGGACTACAGGGGTAGTTCTCCGCAGGAGGCACTGTAGATCTACTCTTGATTCGAGTCTCCGGCCGTACGATCCAGCGATGAAGCAGCTCCACAAGCAAAGCAGCCTCAACCAGAACCAACAGATCCCCACGTACGCCGCCAAGCCAGCCAAGCAGCAGGCCCGCCCCTCCTCCGCCTCCTCGTCCCCCTCCTTTTTACGTTCCGCCGCCGGATACCTCCTCCGGGAGCAGCGCCTCCTCTTCGTCCTCGCCGGCGCTGTCATCGCCTCCACCTTCTTCCTTCTTCAACCCTACTATCACTCCTCCACCTCCGGACTCCAGCCCTCTGATCACCTCGCCTACCGCCATCCGTCCTCCTCCTCCTCCTCCTTCGGCGGCGGCGATGCCGCCTTGGGTGGTAGTGGGAAAAGGATGCCGGTGGGGCTGAAGAAGCCGTCGAAGCGGGTCGCCGTCACGGGGGGCGCCGGCTTCGTCGGGAGCCACCTGGTCGACAAGCTGCTGTCCAGGGGGGATAGCGTGATCGTGATCGATAATTTCTTCACCGGGAGGAAGGAGAACGTGGTGCATCATTTCGGGAACCCGAGGTTCGAGCTGATCCGCCATGACGTTGTCGAGCCGATCTTGCTGGAGGTGGACGAGATCTACCATCTCGCATGCCCGGCTTCGCCGGTGCATTACAAGTATAACCCCATCAAGACTATCATATCCTTCTGATTTGTAAACAATCTTCATTTCGCAACATTTGTTCGAATTCCATGCTTCTCTCGTACTCTGGTAATGGTTGGCTTCGACCTCAGATGGATCTAGGAATTATGTTTGCATTTTCATAAAAATTGAAGGCATAGATTCGTGGAATTAGGATTGTTTCTGTGAAAGTAACTATTTTTTTTATTGATCTATTGTCAAAGCATGATCTTTTTTGTTTGGGTGAATTGAATAAATTTCTTTTCTAATTCATTTAGTTACCATTTGCATGCATTTAGAGATTGAAGTATGTAGCATGTCTTTTCTTATTTCTTGTTTTGAATTACTTTCATGCTGAACGTCTGTTGGATTCCTTTAGGCACTGATATGCTTTTTAATGGAGTAGCAAAGATGATTCTTTTTGTTTCATATATTGTTTTAAATTCTTAACAATTGAGTACAAGACAAATGTGATGGGAACATTGAACATGTTGGGATTGGCAAAGAGAATTGGAGCGCGATTCCTGTTGACAAGTACCAGCGAGGTGTATGGTGATCCACTTGAGCATCCACAGAAGGAGACATACTGGGGCCATGTCAATCCTATAGGTTTGCCAACTTGTATTCAAGCTTGTTGATGCTTCTTTTAACAAAACATTTTGTTGTTCTCACACATTTCACTGTAGGGGTTAAGCATTTTCTCAGATTTCTTGTTTATTCTGTTCCTTTCGTTATCTGTTTCTCCATTTATAGTCACTTGATTGATATTTTAACATTAATAGTCATTAATCCTTAGGTGTTAGGAGTTGCTATGATGAAGGAAAGAGAACAGCAGAAACTTTGACCATGGATTACCATCGTGGTGCTGAAGTTGAGGTGACTTTATGCGCTTGTAAAATTAAGCCTTGTTTCTGTTGATGGTTATGTTGTGGTTTGTGATAGTACAGGACTATGACAATAGCCAAACATGTAGTGCATCTTTGTCAATTAAGTTTCTGTAATCTTAAACTAACTAACTTGCATTTCTGATTTATGGCAATGCATTTTCAGGTCCGTATTGCACGAATATTCAATACATACGGACCTCGCATGTGCCTAGATGATGGCCGGGTTGTCAGTAACTTTGTTGCGCAGGTATCTTTTCTTCAAGCATAATGTTTTCTCTTTTGGGATTCAAAAAGCAATGAAGATTAGATATCATGAAGATGTAACGATCTTAAGAGTCACACTTTGCAGGCACTTCGTAAAGAACCTATGACAGTTTATGGTGATGGGAAGCAAACTAGAAGCTTCCAATTTGTTTCAGACTTGGTACTGAACCATGTCCTTGTACCTTTTATATTCACTGTAGACCTAATCTATCCTGCTTGCAGTAATATAAACTTTGCATGAATTACCTAATTCTTTTTAAAATATTGCTTTATGAGTCAAACCTTTTTATTTCTGCACTTTTACCGGTTTGCTCAAGTAACAGGCCTGAAAAGCACTTCTCCTTCTTGACCATCTTAGAAACTTGAGAATGATATGTAGTGTGTGTTGTCTGAGACCCCCAATCTAGGAATTGTCCAGAACGTCTACCATCTATTTTATCATTTTCATGGTAAATATAATGGGCTCATTTAGGAAAATGCTTAACCTATATCCTACCTCTGAGTTGAACTAATTGGAATTCCATTGTCTGGATGCATCAGCAAGAATGAGTTTCTAATTTGTCCAGGCTTCTTGTGGTAGTTGTGATGTTATACTGGATGGCTCTCATTTTCCGTAAAGATAGCTGTCTAGCTTTGTCTCCTATAATTCAAGTACATGAAAGAGTTGGTTGTTGTGGAGTTCTGGAGACATTTGAAGTATATCCAAGTAAGAGACTTACCAGAGCAGATCAACTTTTGAGTGAGACCAGTGCAACTCGGCTTACATTTGGCTTTTTTTTTTTATCAATCTTACTTTGGGTTAATTGCATAATATTTCAGTCATATATGTCACATTACCTTATGTGTCTTAGTTTCCCTTTGTATAGTTTGCTTGTATGCATATGTTTATACGTCATAGACTTAGCTCAGGATTCTCCAAAATGTTGGAAGTAGCATGATATTCTAGGTATTTTCATATGCTACATCATCATAAGATTACACGGATTGTTATGTATTGTATCTTCAATGATTTAGCTGGATTTTACAATACATGCATATAAAACACTCATATTTTACGACTTTTTGGATATGATAATCAAGAACAGGGGCAAATGATATATTTGAGCCATGTATTCAAATTTGTCTCCTAGTATGTTGATGCATATGTAGCCATTACTTCAAAAATCCTTCTGGTGTTTTTCTTCAATATAACATTTGATATTTTCTTTATTAAGTCCTGTAATTTGCATGCTCAAGTTTTCACGGATGTCTATCTTAAGTAGTAGTTATGACTTTCTGAAGGAATATTGTTGTTGTTACTGCTGCAATTGCCATAGCTATAACTCTTTATATAAGAAAATGGGTGAAGAAAACAAATTTTCAATTTCTTATAAAACATTATAATCGACTTGTTCTAAGGCATTCCTGAGTTACACACTTTCCTTTATTTTGTGAAGAATCCAAGAAATGGAGGGTGAGAAAGATCGAAACAGTATTAGAAACAGAGGTGCCTCTGGCAGCCTTTTCCAATCAACACATGCTTGACCGACAAACGTGTGCAATATTCCTGTGTTACTGAGTGCATCTGCTTAAGCAGAACGTGATCGAAATTTGATTGTGAATATCTCTTCATTTCTAGATCATTTGTTGTCATGTGTTTGTTTCGAGCTGGCAGAATGAACTAGTGACGATTGCTACATGAAAATTTGCCAGGTTGATGGATTAGTGGCTCTTATGGAAGGTGAGCACATTGGACCTTTCAACTTGGGTAATCCAGGAGAGTTCACCATGCTGGAGCTAGCTGAGGTACTACCAGAAAGTTGAAGTATGTTATCATTCATTCTCTCCGCCCTTCTTTCAACATGTTAAGGTAACAATGTTCTAACATTTTTCCAGGTTGTGAAAGAAGTTGTTGATCCTTCTGCAACCATAGAATTCAGACCTAACACTGCAGATGATCCACATATGAGAAAACCTGACATATCGAAGGCAAAAGAACTGCTGAACTGGGAACCAAAGGTTACACTGCATGAAGGGCTGCCCCTAATGGTGACCGACTTCTCAAAGCGGATCTTAAGCGCTGAGAAATGATTGTTAAGAGTATCAAATTGCATCTATCAGTTATATTAATTGCTCTCTTTGTTGCTGCAATTTTTGGAAATTCTGACTGCAGTTGATTGATTTATAGTATCATTAATAGCAAATTAATTATTATTATTTACATGTGAGATAGGTTTTGAAGACAACTAACTGTTCATTGTAACTCTAATATTTTGCCAGCCATTTTCACAAAAGATTGATGCCATTTATGGTACTTAAATTGAGATATAGAGATTGAAAATTGTGGTATTTGTTCTGCGTCACTGCATGCTTCTTGTTTCTTTAAGCAGGATTGTAGTAGAAAAATACATGATTATGTAGCATATTATGATGTTATCAAGAGACTAGTTATCATTGGTCGATTTGTATGTCAGGTGGGGCCCATTTTACGGCGACTATGGGCCCCGACTGTGGTCCAACTGTCCCGTGATCCTCGCTCCATCGAACGGTTCGCGTCGCTGATTGATGAATCCCGACGAATCTGATGTGACTCGAAGAGCGACGGACGGGGTGTGGTACCATTGCAGGCGTAGCGACCCGTACTTCATCACGGAATCACGTCGGCGACTGATGAATCCGACGGTTCCTATGTGATTAAAGGTACGAGTCTTCCGTTCGCTTGACGCCCCATCGCCTTTAATCCGAACCCATTGTCCGTCGCACTGCGAAATCACCTTACACTCTCACCTCTATTTTCCGAAATGCCACTCTCCTTTCCCGCGATGGATGAATACACAGAAGAGGACCTGGAGAGATCAAAGCGTGGATGGACGTCGATCCACCTTCCTTTCCAACGGCTTCAGAGGATGAGGGTTAGGTGCTGGCTTGTGCCTAGTCCTTGCCTCATCAGTGGTTGGAATGGCCGACGGAGACCACCGCCCATCCAATCTATCACTAACCATTTGTGGATCACGCGTTCCAGATCGAAGCAATAAGAGCATCCACGTTTAGCCACGACCCCGGTGGGCTCGCCGACCGAAAGCGATCCTTTCCCACCGGCTTCAGCGGCTCTTCCCCGTCATGTCGCCGTTCATCTCGCCCACCTATTTAACTACCGCAGCTGCAAAGAGGCCAGCAGAGTGAAGCCGGACAAGAAGAAGAGCTGCTGCTGCTCGTTATACTAGGAGAAGATGCCGATCCTTCGCATAACGATCGGAACGCCAGAGGAGGCGCGCCACCCTACCGCGCTTAAAGCCGCTCTCGCCGAGTTCATCTCCGTGCTCATTTTCGTCTTCGCCGGCCAGGGATCGGGGATGGCGTTCAGTAAGCTCCGTCTTTTCCTGCCGAGTGTGCATGACGAGTAAGAAGAACTAAGCTGGTTGACCTGGGTGAATTGTTTTGGCAGATAAGCTCACGGATGATGGCTCCACAACCCCAGCGGGGTTGGTGTCGGCGTCCTTGGCCCATGGCTTCGGCCTCTACGTCGCAGTAGCCGTCGGGGCCAACATCTCCGGCGGCCACGTCAACCCGGCCGTCACCTTCGGCGCCTTCCTCGGTGGCAACATCACGCTGCTTCGGGGCATTTTGTACTGGATCGCGCAGCTGCTCGGCTCCGTGGTCGCCTGCCTGCTTCTCAAGTTCGCCACCGGCGGCCTGGTGATCTCTCGATACCATGCGCTTAGATACAAGGGCTGGTGACACCCTCGTCGTCCTGCTTGACATGACCGACCTGCTGCTGTTGTGCTTCCATGTGCAGGAAACAACGCCCTTCTCGCTGTCGAGCAGCGTGACCGTGTGGAACGCGTTGGTGTTTGAGATCGTGATGACCTTCGGGCTGGTGTACACGGTCTACGCGACGGCCATAGATCCGAAGAAGGGCAACCTGGGAATCATCGCGCCCCTCGCGATCGGGCTCGTCGTGGGTGCCAACATCCTGGCAGGCGGGGCGTTCGACGGCGCCTCCATGAACCCGGCCGTCTCCTTCGGCCCCGCGGTGGTCAGCTGGACCTGGGACAATCACTGGGTATACTGGGTCGGCCCGTTGCTCGGCGGGGGCATCGCGGCCTTGGTCTACGACGGCGTCTTCATCGGCTTCGGCACCCATGAGCAGCTCCCTACCACAGACTACTAGCGTTCGTGGGCTTTGTTAACGAATAATCGCCAGCGAGACTCGCTGTGTTTGGAGTCGTGGTTTCTGAATAGGGAGGTGCGACAGATGATTCTATTGGTTGGTTGTGTCTGCTGTAACAGTTCATGCAATGCATTTATCTCAGATCGAAGTTCCTTAGTGCAAGTCAGAATATTCGAGTTCATCCACAAATATAAATCACCAAAGTAAAAATATATTAACATAAATATCTACTCAAATTGCAACGAGTAATTTGGGAAGCCAAAGTTTAACACAATTTCGACGAGTAGTGTCGAAAGGTGCATTGCATGCATACTATACTATAATTAAGGATAATCTCATCTTTTAAAAAATAAATAATATAATATCGAATTCTTAGATAATTTTGACAAGTAACATTTTCGGAAGCGCCATTGGTAACAAATAACAGCTCTCTTGTAACGGATTACAACCGTCTCTGGCGATTTCCGTTATATACTGGCTTGAAAACTTCGTTTTCGTCGCTCCATTTCCCCCGTTGCCCCCTTCGCTCTCCTTTCCGCATTCAAATCCCCCACCGACTCGCCTCACTTTCTTCCGCGATGAATCCTACGAAACCTAGTCGTCGATCGTACTCACCCTTCGGAAGCACCGGTGCGCTGTTTCATCGGATTGGATGTGCGCAACAACGATCGAGAGATCCAATCCGGGTATGAGATTGAATTCCATGCTCATGCCTTCGTAATTTTCTCCATGTTGAACATGCATTGATGGATTTGAGTGTTTCGATCGACCACAAGGATTCCTTCGTGTGTTTCTTAGGGTCTATTCGAAACCCTAAGAAAAGAAAGGTGAGGAAGCACTAAAACTGTCTTTCGTGTTCTGATTCTTAGAACAAACCGTATGCTTGTTTCTAAGAACTCGCAACTCGCGGGACTTGCGTATCAACTGCTCTCTGTGCCAAGTTTTTCCTTCTTCAAATATCTTTAGGGTTTAGAGAGACATTCTGTATTGATTTAAATTGCTTTAAAGTGACACTGTGCAATTAGGTGACATGATTAACATGCACAATCTTGGAGGACAAGGAAATATAGCAATTTGGTGAAAATATTGAATATTTTCAACAGGAAAAATAGTTACATGCACTTAGATCCAAATTAATTTCGGCAAACTTGAGGATGCATTTTGAAGTTCTTTACCCAAGATTGTACATCCATGCTATAAAGGTGACACCTAAAATTAATAGCTGCATTATGAGCAATGCTATTTTTTCTCTGGTCAGTGTAGTTATGGTAAATATATCCAAGTTTACCGTCAAAGATGGTGGATGTCCATTAGGTGAGCATGAACCATATCATGGTGGTATATCGGCTAATGGATGATTCCAACATGGTGGTATAGCTTTTATGAGATATGATGATGAGTTTGGATGTATAAACTTACTTTCCTCACATTTATTGATGCATTTTCTATTTGTAAAACATTAGAAAGAGGCTAAATTTATTTTAATTAAGTGGTTCTTTCGTTCTAAATGTTTTATTTGTTACGGAATGCAGGGTTTATATATTGAGAAATAAACATCAACATTGAGCTCTATATATTGTGTTTCAATATTAATTGGATCTATCTGAAAATTATGGAGACTATTATTCATGCATTAGATCATAAATTATTTCAATATTACTTGTATTCTAATTTTACCACTTGGGATGGATGGTTAATGTTATTTGTTCAGCATTAGATCATAAATTAATTCTTCAGCATATGTCTTGACTCTGTATGATGAGAATGCTATAGAAATTGAGGAGCCTTCTGTAACCTGTATCAAGATCTACACCTCAGTATCTTGTGACTTGTAGAATTTGCTGCTTTAAGTTCAATTGATTAATGAAATATGGATCATAGACTTTGTATCTTTTGTGAGAGAAAGTTCTATATATTATCATTACATGTATTTCATATCTGGCATATAAATTTTGTTGTCTGCTTGTTGATGGTTATTATGCTAGCTGCAGCATCAATGATATAATAATTAAAGTGATATTGTCGTCGCATATTATGTGATTTACAGCATGAGATTTAAGTAGGAAGATGCCTCATATCGCAAGATTGACCATTGAGTCCTCTTGAGGAGAGGTATAAAGCATTTGACCCAACAAATTGCCTTAGCCTTAATGCATTTGTTTTCTTCAGAATACATGAGTTCCCTTGTATAAAAAATAGTTTTCTCTGGAAACCGATATCTTCTCTCTAGTGAAAATCTCAAAAGATATTTCTGGAACTTTATGGTTCAATAGTATTACTAGTTTGGCATCTTCGTTGTTATCCTGGTCATTTTAGGTTTCACCTTTTTAAATAAGGTGGTCAAGCATGAAATAAGTCACTGAAACGCAGTGCATGTCCATATTAATTGAATCAGTTGCTAACTGACCATACTTGCTTCATGACTAACTGGTTTGTAGGGAGATAAATGGGAATGCAAGCATACAATAGATATATTAATAATTGCTTCCTCCACAATTGGCAGCATGAACGCCCATGAATGTTTTGCATGATCAGGATCAATATCATAGGCTTCTGTATTTTGTTGAACTTCATGTCTACTGCCACCATATATTTGATGCAAGATCACCTAATTATGATGACAAATTGTGCATGCCTCATCAACCAGTTTTCTACATTTAGTTGTCTGTCATGATTAATAGTTCTGAAAAAAGGGAGTTTCATAAGCCGTAGATGTCCTGGTAACCAAGTCTTTCTGTCACTTCCTGGTGATCAACCATCTGGCAGATATATGTTTCCTCAAGTGGACTACAAAATTTTCAGCCCAGTTCAATCTAACCACTGGCGTGTTGCCCATTATCACTGTGGAAAAAATAGTTCTTGTTAGAGTTTAGCTGCTTCTGAGGTTGTCTTTAATGGTTTTGTGTAGTATCTTCATCAATTCAAACAGGCTCGGTGTTTTACAAAGTTAACTGACATGTAATCCTTGTTCTCTTAATAAATTTCTAGGATTATATCATTCCACAATCTATGCTTAATCTGAAAAACCCTGTTCGATTGCTGGAGTAACAACAGCTTCAGCAAAACTAACATGAAATTTTTTTTTGTATCTTTTGAGCATGAGCAACAAAAGTTGAATAATATGTATTATCAATAGTAATTGGAAGGATGCAACAGCATTATCGCATAAATGTCATGGTAAATGCATTGGAAGATCTATCATATTAATATAGTTCACTGAAAAAAAAAAATCTAAAACCCAACAGCTTCTGGCTTTAGTGAAGCACAGCTGGTTCCCTTGCTGGTTGTAAGATAATCTCTTGTACATAATAAATTGTATGATACATTGGTGATCATACACTTGCGGAGACAAATTAATATATGGTTTCTCTGTCATTCACTTAGGTAAAAAGTTCAAGGATAGTGAAAAGTAGTATTGTTAATATAATTAGATGATATATATGAAAATTAAGGTAGCACTGGAGGATGAAGCTGGGTTATTGATAATGGCTTAGTCGATAAGGATTTATTATATTTGCATTACATTAATTTATCTCTTTATTGCCTACCTCCCGTTTTCCCAGAAGTGCTTTCTGATGTCAATAGAACTTCTGCAGAAGGGAGAGAGATATCGGAAAGGTTTGCATAACACATCTGCCTTGCCAACCAGAAACATACATTGTACAGGTGTCAAGGTTAGCACACAGTTTTACATTGCTTTTTAAGGTGCAGATTGGTCGGTCATTAAAACCCATATCTGAAGTATAATTATGTGTTTTTTCATCATGCTTAATTTTCTTTTGTCTTTATTCTTCTTGAATATCTCATTTATGACGTGATTGACTTGATGGCTTGAATGATAATCAAGAACAGTTTGTTTTTACTATTTAATTGAAAATTATTGATGTGGATCATTTAATCTCAGTGCTACAATTATTATCTGGCATCCTCCATGTCATCCACTATATGGGCTCGACTCCCTTTTTATTTGTCAGTCTCTCTTACTAGCCGACATTCACTTTTACAGAATTAATCAGTATATGTGAATGTAACACCATTAATGTTGATCATAATTCCAGATAAAAAAGATAGAGGATTATATTAGGTCACTGATAAGTAATATAAAATTATATCAGGTCTTATCGATTTTGCTATAGAGTTAGGTTGTTTATCGAAAATGACACGAGGTATTTTCACCACCTAGGTTTCTCGAATTATAAGTCATGGACTAGGAGGTTATCTAGAAATAGCCCATCACATCAATGCTTGGATATAGTGTTAAGTAGGTAGAGGTTCTTTTATTATTTTGGATAGAGTAAAGAAATTAATCCAAGAATAGAATATCATATTAGCAACTTGGCACTGTAGGAATGCCTTTTAGAGAAAATAGAATTGATAAATATTATGATAAAAATATATATATATTATTTGCTTATAAAGACTAAGTGGGTAAAAAAAAATGAAAAGATTGATAGTAAAAAAATTATGCATATAAATGATATAAGAATTATTATTATTATAAGGACCTTAAAAATAATATTATATATAAAAAGATTTAAAGATAAAATTATAATTTTAAAATTTATAAAAGGATAACATATTTTTGAATGTCATTAATGCTTAAATCCCTCAGGCTCGATTAGACGATATAACTGAAAGAGAATTTTGAGAAAACTTAGATAATATAATTCAAGGTATATATATAATCAAAAATCTTGTAATTGAAGAAGATTTAAAGGTCTATATGTAGGAAAAACATATAGAGAATATAAAGGGGTACATAGGGGCTTTAGTTATTAGGAGAGAAATAAAAATATCGATATAATTTTAGATTTTATAACTCCGTATGATCTTATAATTATAAATACTCACTTTATAAAGAAAATTAAATATTTAATTACTTATAAAAGTGGTCACAACTATAGTCAAATAGATCTTTTTCTTATTAGAAAAGTAGATAAAGTTATTTGTAAGAATCATAAAATTATATCATATGAAAGTTTGATAAGTAAATATAGGTTAATGATATTAGATATTTACTATAGAAAATTTAAAAAATAGTACAAAAATTACTAAGACTAGATGATGAAATTTAAAAGATGATAATGTAAACACTTTTAAGAATAAAATAAAAAAAAAGATGATTTGAAATTTAGATGAGGATAATATTAATTTTATTTAGACTATAATGGTTGATAAAATTAAGAGCTTAACAAGGAGATTATTGTAAAATTAAAGTTAAAGATGTAATCCTAAGAGAGAGATGGTGGTGGTACGAGGAAGTTTAAAAAATAATTTCTACCAAAAGATAGTGTAGAGTGAGTTTCCTAATAACAATTTTAATTGAGTCTTTTTTTTCTTTTCACATTTACAATGGATGGATGATCTTATTAGTCATTTACGGAATAAATCTCCATAGTATATATTATTTGTTGATGATATTATATTAATTGATAAGAATCTAGATGAAATTAATTATAAACTTTGCTTCTTAGAAGTTTTAGATTAGATAGAATTAAAATTAAATATATAAAATATAATATTAATGATTCCAAAAATAAATTTAAAAATATAATTAAATTGGATAGATAAAAAAGTCTCCATATTTTTAACACTGACGTAAAGTAGCTGTTATTTTACACCAAAATTGAAATTATGTGGTTTCCATGTTTCTTTACCTTTCCAATCGTTTAACCGTATCATTCTGGCATAAGTGACCTAAATCATGAAGACAGCTAGTGATCATTTAGCTGCCATTATAGTGCTGATTGAGCCTGAATACCCTTTTGACCTACACCTCAGGATGAAGTTTAGTACCTACAACCATGCTTCAACTGTTTAAGCTGTGGGAACTGACTCGAAATTGAGTCAGACTTAGGCTGAATCAACCGGTTAGTCAACATCTCAGTGGCCCCCACGTCCCGTCCTCGTCGCAGCGCACGCTGGTTGCCCTCGCGTCGCCGTGCTCACGCGAGGGTTTCACCGCGCGGCCCGCCACCGCTGACAGCAGCGCCCCCCCACCGCGGCAGCGCTCACTGCGATCCTCGTCGGACGCGCTGCTGCCTGCGGCCAGCGTGGAAGTCTTCATTGCTGTCTCCCCGTGGGCCCGCACCGCCCGCTGCAGCCGCAATCGCCGCGTGCTGCTCCGGTTACTTCATCTTTTCATTGTATTTGGACAAGCTTGTTTCGGGTTTTCTCCTGGGGAGATGTCGTGTTGTGACTCTCCCATTACCGACGCTCAAGCCATTTATTAGGATTTTTTTTTTCTGCTGTGAATATATTTATTTTATATTTTATTATTCGATTTTTTTCCCGACTTGATATGTATGTCGTGACTTCCGAACCGACTAATCCTTCCCAACACAAACCTTAGGTTAGTCTGTTGAACTCGTTTGATGCCCATCACATCCTGTTAAGACAATGCATCATGAGTAAATAAATTTACCACCACTCCATTTGTATGTCATCACTATCACTGTCTACAAAATCCTTCTGGCTACTGGATTCTTCTGCAGTTCTGTTTGGCACCTCGACTCTGTCGATAGATAGCATTATTTTCACATATAATAGAAACTTGTAGTTGGATTGCATTCATGTTCCTCTTTCTTAATGTTGTTGATCGCTGCTTTATGATTATTGGGACATCCTATCTTTCCACATGCTAAGAACCTTCAGCGCATCTATATTGTATTCAAATATCCTGTCTTAGAAATTCTGTGTTTCGTCCACTTCATGATATGAATGCTAATGCTAAGGGATACATGAATCTCCAGTCATTGAGTTTTATTATTCTTATTGCCTCGTGTATACATGATCTCATCTTGCGAAAACCAGTAAGGTCCAGAAGAATGTTTAAGTAAGTTTTGCGATCATCCTTGACCTGACTGTAGTTCTCATAAAGGAATCCTGAAGGGCATGATTCATGTTAATGGATCAAACCATCATGAACATGCATGTTTAATGTGGCAGCATCACAATCATGCTATTTTATTGGCTTAATTTGTGAAATTAAGTAACTAACAAAGAAATATATCTTTTGCACCATATCAAACATTCCAACAGTATTCTTTCGTCAAATTATGTTCCCAATACTGTTCCATCCACACATATTTTCAATCATGAGAAACAAAAGGAGCCCATAGTGGAATCAGTAGCACTTATGGGCAAGTAGGATCCACCTTTTTTGTCATGGTTTCAGTGGAAATAACCAATTAACATTCCTGAACTTTAGTAGAGATTTTAGGTTCTCTCTCGGGTACTGTTTTGGGACTATTATCTGATGATGAAATCAGGCCACATGTTCAGAGGTTGCTTTCTTAGCTCACAATCTACGATGTTCAATTTGCAGTAGTGCAAGATGACCACTGTGCCAAACAGTGTGCTTGAATGCGAAAGAGGAGAGCTGCGTTGCTAGTGGAGCCAAATTCATTGCAGGTGAATTAGTGGGCGCCGGAGACTCGTGCGTGTCTACGACCTTTTCTAACACAAACAGATGTTTGACAGGTATGCACTGACGCATTAGCTTTATTTTATCCCTGAAGATAATGCTATAATATTGGGATCACTTCCCTATCACTGCTCCAATAGCTCTATGGAAACCACACAGCTTCACCACTTGGGTAGAAAATAGTTTAAACATAAAAGGGGGCAAAAGGTCCTCTTCCTACTATTCCCTCTCTCTCCTCCTCCAAGGCCTTGCCATGAAGGGGGTGTGAGCAACTAAGTTAGGAAGTACAGACAAGACAAAGCGGTTTGGTCGAAGCACTTTGCATTTTATACAGAACGATTCTTGGACTCAATGTGGAGCTTTTCATGAAAGCTTTTTTCAGGCTCTGAGCTTATCAACAAAGTCCAGATCAGAGGATATTAAGCTTTAGCAGCATCAGCAATTACTACTGAGGGGTGTGGGTTCTCCGTCTATAGATACACAATGCATTGAAACAACAGATCGGTTAGTAAAATCGTTCGCCGGATGAGGTATTATAACAAGCACTTGGTGGATGCATGATCGTACTTAAATTTACAGGTCTCGCCCATAAGGCATCTCGCAGTTATAACAAGAGATCAGACACGGGGTGGGTTCGAAATCCTCAGGTCTTCATCTAATCTCCAGAGTGATTCGGACTTGTCTTCCCATATGGAAGAACTCGTCGGAGGGCACTCCATGTTGCACGATTCCGATGCGGCGATCTCGTTCCAGATCTGGTCCATCGTGTACCCCTTGACTTCATCATCGGTCAATTCGAGCCCCGAGGTGAAAGCGCTGCCCTCTGCAACGCTGTCGCCGTCGTGCTTTTCCACTCTAAGTTCCGATGGAGGTCCGTTACTCGAAGATGATGAAGATGGCGAGGGCGACGAGCACGTCCTCCGCTCCTGTGCCTTCTTCCTCATGTGTGTCCTCCAGTAGTTCTTGATCTCGTTGTCGGTGCGCCCTGGCAGCCGCCGAGCAATGCGAGACCACCTACGATCAAACCTGGCTAAATAACTTAGACTACAGGCAACGAGGCATGAAGATGTGTGCGTGACTGGATCAGACCTGTTGCCCCATTTAGCATGGAGTTCGACCACAAGGTCTTCTTCCTGGGGCGTCATGCGGCCGCGCTTGAGGCCGGGATGAAGGTAGTTAACCCATCGTAGCCTGCAACTCTTGCCCGACCTGTTAAGACCTATACAACGCAGAGGTTAAACCAGAACTTTCGTCGAACACCCTGACTGCACTATGGGCCTACCCATCCCCCGCCACCGCTCAAACCTGACACCTTGGCTAAGAAATCCCAACGACGTTCACCGAGCAGGCGGACGAACCATACCAGTTGGAGGTCCTCCTGCTCCGTCCATGGCCCCTTCCGTGTCATCATCGTCGGCGGCGGCACCATTGGTGAGTAGTACACGGGCTTCACGGACGCCTCACGTTTCTCTCTCGGCGTAGCGTCGCTTTTATAGCCTCACCAACGCCACACCATTACGACATCCTCATTAACCCCTCTCATTTAAGTCGTCTTCTCTGGTTGGTGTTTTCCTATTAATAGGACAAACAAGAATCCGATTGCTTAGGCGACTCCATGTCCTTGGAAAGGACGTGCTCATTATTGCACTGCTTTGTGCATAGACAATTTGTGATTGATTAGAAGTCGGTGGTTTTAATCTATATATTGATATTAGATGTAAACTAGGCGGTCCACAAAAACCCTAGGGAAAAAGAAGCCTCTCTCATTAATTCACAAGTGTCTCATGACATGATTGCTTGAATCACAAGCCACATGTTGTTTTCCCTCATCAACCCATAGTCTTAACAAACAAGATAACAACACTGTTTGCGAGAAGGCTTGACAACCTCAAAGCTGGGATGACCCATTAGCGGAAGTGCGGAGTGGCACAAAGCCGAGGCATTGTGATGTGGATGCCACCACTTCCTTATCTCGCTCTCGGCTTGCCCTTTTCTTTATCTTTCCTCGCCTTCCAACTTTTGGCCGCCTTCTACGGACTTGCCATTCTCTCCTTCTCCGACCGCGCTTTATAATCGTTATCCTGTTTGTTTTGTCCGCTTGCCATCCGCATGGCTTTCTCGTGCATGTCATCAGCTGGAACGAAGAAACGACAGGGACCAAGCAGTGGCGTCGTCTTCGTAGGTGACGGCGTGCAGCGGTGAGCGTCTTAACGAGGTTTGTTCCCTGTTCTACTTAGGGTTGATTGGGAACGAACCACTAAGCCAGTGCGTGTGCCCCATACCTTGAGCTCGTCGAGGTGTTCGACCGCAGGCACGCACCACAGTGAAGGGGTTGAACGCTGTGTGATGTGCAAAAGGATTCCACGTAGTGGGACGGTCTGCAGCCTTTGCCGCTCCAATTTCTATGGTCCCAAAAGGCCATGGTGATCTCGGGAGACACTGGTGGTGCTGAGTTGTACGCCCGTCGGACTGGTTGAGCGTGCCTTTGGTTGTCCATGACCTGTCGTGTCAGTCTTTTTTATGACGTTGGAGTTCGCACAATGATTAAATCTCTGACGTTAATATACAACATCCCGATTTAACTTCCACCGGTTACGGGTCAGATCTTTGAGAACTCAATGTATATGTTCTTATTAATTTAGACTCGAAATATTTTGGATGAGTGATTCAAGCTCATCGAATTAATCAATCAAGGCTTAAGCATTTTGAGTTACGTGGTTTTAGAGTTATTAAAATAATAAATTAAACTTTAAATGATTAAAAAAGAAATTTAATGTATGTTGGGCACGCTCATATTCCACTTCAGTGCATTCTAGGAATGCCAGGAATGCAGAGGGTTCCAAGATGTGTGTTCTGAACTTATCAAAAATAAGATTAATTATAAATTATCTCCCGTAGTTAGTTACATTTAATATTTCAGTTTTTATACCTTCAAAAGTTATATTAATATCTCTATAATTTTAAAAATAAAATATCTAAGTTCATTTATCATAATGACATCGATTTTACCAACGATAATATGAAAATAAAAAAATAAAAAAGATAATTTAAACGTTACAATTGATGATGACGGACGGTGATTGTTGTGGATAAGAAACGGTGACGTAATCGTTCATCATCACCAATTAGAATGTTTCACTTTCATAATTATGAAATTATTAATATAACTTTCTAAAATATAAGGATCGAGATGTTAAAGCTAACTAACTACGGAGAATAATATATAATTAGCCCTTATAAATACTTAATATGTGTGGTGGTTGACCTATCCATAATTTTTATTGAGAAACAAAGGATGTAATTTTCTCTCATGACTACCACCCCAATCATGTTACTTGGAATTATTGTCTTAGTATTGTTGAGGGTGGTTTCCTTGCAGGCTTGCTTACCACTGCTTTAATCTAGATGTGTTGATTCTTGAAGGCCCAAGAGATTGCTTGTTCCAATCTGCATCATTTCCTAGTAAGGCCTCAACGTTATCCAATAATAGTGGCTCCTGCTACAGAGAGGAGGAGAGAGACAATATTGGGCTCAAGTTAGGAATATAGATCAAGTCTGGTCTAACAGCACGAGCTGGAAATTTTTATTAGGACACCGCACTTCTCCGGCAATTTCCTGAGTCAGACGTGTGACACGACACTGTCCCTCTAGAAAATATGGACGCGATGGAAGTCAAAAAAGATACAACATTTCAACGCCAATGACTTGATTCTGCTACTCTCTCATCTAACTTTTGGTGGTTGGTTTCCGATATCACGAGGTTTCGCTCATGGTTTCACATGATGTTAACAGAACTCATTACTCTCCAGTCAACCTTCCATGTTTCCTTCCTCCCTCCCATATGTAAGTCTAAAGACTTGTCTCGATGTACAATGTTTGGGATCGCATCACGAGACGTATCAATCGAGAGCTGAAATGGATGGAAAGATACACCACTGGGTGCTTGGTCAACCATATCTCGAGCCAGCTGGTGGCTTTTGGATACCCAAGAGAGGGAAGTCCGGTGCCCGTTCACAAGCGCGATGACGCCCGGAAGGCGTTCGGGTGGCCTTTCCCACAAGTCAAAGAATATAGTGATAAATGACGACTTGTATTACGTTGACCTTACACGCATCCGCCTCCCTAATCCATCCATGTGTGAAACCATCAGCTTATCGATTCAAAACACGTTTCATCCATTCTTGTATTTCCACTGTGGTTCTTCTCCTACGCCTCCGCGGGTTGGTGCAGTGGTAATACGTCATCCAATACACACTTGCTGACTCTTCCTCGCTCTTTGTTTCAGATTCAGAGCACAGCCTGAGACCTCCTTGGCACTCTAGAAGATAAGTAGGGCGACTGAGTCGTCTCTGTGCTGGTCTCGTGAATGCTGCTGTCACCTCTACCTCATCCCTTACCCATCCCCCACGAAACACTGGTTGAGCCGACTCGAGAGCCTATAAATGTAGCTCTTCCTTCTTCTCCATTTATGTTTAGGATCTCTTTCACCATCGTTCGTGGTTTAGTGGTTAACAAGGCATGAAGAGATTGGTGGCTGAAGAGGAAGGAGGAGAAATGGAGAGCATCAAAAACATGGCTCGCGCACTGATGCTTCGGTCTCACGGCGACGCCGACGTGTCGTCGGGGTCGCCGCCGGCCCGTGTCTTCGAGTGCAAGACGTGCAGCCGGCAGTTCCCGTCGTTCCAGGCGTTGGGAGGCCACCGGGCGAGCCACAAGAAGCCGAAGCTCGCCGAGGACGGCCGCGGCCATGGCGAGGCCGCCAAGCCGAGGGTGCACGAGTGCGCCATCTGCGGGCTCGAGTTCGCCATCGGCCAGGCCTTAGGCGGTCACATGCGGCGCCACCGAGCCGCCACCGACGCCTTCGCGCAGGGAAGTCCGGAGAGGAAGGCGGGCGAGGAGAAGAAGAGGGTCATAAGGATCTTTGGGTTCGAGCTTGTGGATTCGACTCCCAGTGGTGGTGGTGGATTGCTTCCATTGATGGATACCATCACCTTTTGATCCTTATTTAGATATACATAATCTGATTTTATTTATATACTGTACACACAAAATCGTGAAAATTGATTGGGTTGTAAAGAAATTATCTTTGGGCCAAAAATTTTAATTTTGTGTTATATGATTCCAGCTGAGAATTTCTAGCTACAGTAATATCCAAGGAGAAGATGAATTGCGTAGAGAAAACCGAGTATAAAGTTCACCTGTTTAGAGCACAATCGAAACCATACAAACCAATTAGAACAGATGTGAATGGAACTTAGCAAGTAAGATGTCCATGAAAATATGATTTCGAAAAGTCAATGTGCATAGTCTTACCCTATAAATAAAAAGTATTCTCTCGTGATGCGAGCCCTATCACGTTGAAATTTTGAAGTAGCATTAAGTAATGCAATTTCAACTTGGTTCACATTACTGTTCTTCTAATTTTGGGCTTGTTATGGACGTCTCGAGGAAGAAGGCAGAAGCCACTTAACCTCTTCTCTTCATCACGTCGTCTTGATAGTGATCAACACAAATAATTTAGTACACTAGACAGATATTTTTCGGATAAAGAGAGAAAGAGTCGTAAATAAATAAATAAATAAAAATATTCTTTGGATGTTGGATTTGGTTCATCAAGTCCACCGAGACATAATGTGTGAACGTGGGAAGCACAGGGACTCAAAGTCGCTGTCACCCCAACTCCGACGATTACATATAGTGATATCAATGCACTTTCTTCTTCATCATGCCTTGTCATGCTCTCCACTCTCTATCTATCAAGGTGGCAAAAGGCCTACCAAAAGCACCTATTTGTTATTGCCACCCCTCACCTCACCATTACGACCGACGGAAAGCAAGATCCCGATGACAGCACACTCCCTTCTCCTGCCAAATCCTGGGAAGCACACCTGGCAGCGAGAAGATCGCCTTCGATTTGGATTGAGCCATCGAAAGGGATCACCACTTATCCGGCTGCGTTCTTTATCTGCTACTTAATCCGGATGAGCTTGCCATGCAAATGGGACAACTCCATTCTACTGTTGGATTGCGATCCCTAACCACTCTGCAGCTACTTCCGGCCGGATAATTGCTGGATGTCCGGCGAGCTCACCACTGAGATGGGAAGATTGTTATGGCCTGAACAATCTGTGTGATTAGATAAACAAGATCGAGAGTTTGTGATTGATTATATGCATGAATTAGAAGTTGTTTGATTAGTTTGGGTGAGGGATCTTAAGGGAGCTCCCACCCAGCTGTCCTCGAGAACTCAATGATCGGACTGCATCTCTCACACATAAATATTGATGGAAGAGAGCATCCTTTCTTCTCCATTGTGTGCATTAAGGGCACGAGTAGACCACTCTAAGAAAAAGTACGCATAACGAATAGTCAAAGACGTACGTTTGATGTGCAGAATGATACAGCAGCACGTGTCAAAGACGAGCGTTACCCAACAAAACTCTGTATCTTCTTCTTTCTTTTGCTTCCCGTATCTTTGAAGTAAGCTTTAAGAGCTCTTTTTATATGTGATATGAAGCAAAGAATGCGAACCACGAGTGGATGTCGGATCTCGGTAGCTTCCATCGGCTTACATGGAACGATTGTTATCTCTGATTCGGTCGTCCAGTTTTTGACTTGTATATTGGGATTTCGATTGTTCGGAATCGACCCACCCATTAAATTCATGCTTTTGGGACGAAAAAGATGGTCAAAACAGCGATTAATCGAGTGGCTATTTGGTACATCTGCTGGAAGATGCAGAGTGGAGCTTCTTCATGTTTGGTTCATTAAGAATGATGCCGTCTGCAATCCTCTGTTATCGGCGTGCACTGCTTTCTGGTAGAAAAAGACATGGTTAAGCACTGCGGTGCTGCTCTTGAGAACACCCATGATGATGATGACATAGAATGGAATACAGAAGTGTTTCCTGGAATGTAGACTGTGGTCAGTCTTTTGCTTGTTTCAGGCCAAAGCAGCAGGGGAAGGGCACTCATTTGGCCTAATGATTGCTCTTTTCTTGCATCAAACATCTTATAATATCTCTGAAACAGGTTAAAGGTTTATAGAGAGAGAGAGAGAGAGAGAGAGAGAAGAGACAGACCACATGGCGTCCCCACTCCGACGGCAGGGATACCATCGTTGACTCGTACTCCTTATAAAAGCCGGAGGAGTAGCTCCTCCGCCCTCCTCCCTCTGTCTCTCTCTGCTTCGCTTATCGTTCCGCGAAAGCTCTGAGCCTCTAAGGAGGGAGGAAGAGAAGAATCGAACCTCAGTCGAAGAAGGGTAAGCCTCCTCCTGCTGCTGCTGCTGCTATAGCTCTTGGTTTCTTTCCGCAGTAGTACGAGACAGTTTCTTCTGCTACAGATCTCATAATCGAGAAAGTGTAAGTACCTTCTCGTGCAATCTTATCTCAAGTCGACACCTTTTTCATGAAACCACTCTGTTCTTGATCAACCGAAGCTGCTCTCTTTGGTTTCTCTTTCCTGTTTCTCCCAAAAGAGTATCGTACTTGTGTCATGGAATTCGGCGCAGACGCTTTGAACTTCCGTCGTCTTCGGTTTCCTTTTACTCGAAGTGCATGTTGCTTTAGCGAAGAGTTCACAAAGGACACTCTTAATTTGCTCCCCTTCGTCTTCTCCGCAGCTTATCCTGCTCGACAGGCCGCTCTCAGCAGAAAAGTCTCCAGCTTGCCGCTTGAGCAGTGAGAACACAGGCCTCTATGATTCCCCAGGTGAGATGGTACCCATCACATCGTACAGCTCGCTATGACATACATGTCTTTCAGTTGAGATGTCATATCGATGTATCCTTTCGCAGTCCTCTTCTTGGCCGAAGACGGTGCTGCGGAAATGGCTCAACATAAGGAGCGGGGAGTTCTACTCCGACTGCAACAGTAAGTCTATTTTCCTGATCAGAACCTGTTCTTTCCCTCTGTTCACTAATGATTTTGATGAAAACAATTAAGAGGAGGAGTTCGCGGAGATGCAGAGGCTAAGGAAGAGCTGCTCCGACAAGAACGGCAGCGAATGGTCGATAATGGTCTCCGAAGATGTCAAACGACCCGAGACCAGTTCCGTGGCTGCGTCTTCTTCTCCCATCGATAACCTCAAGTAAACCCACGAACAAAACCAGAGCTTTCTAAGCGGAATATTTTGGAGTTGCTACTCATCATTAGTCTGTGTTGTAATCTAAATGAATGACACAGCTTTAACAGTGTTATGGATTGGAATGCGTTCGATGTTTGGGTGTGTATATAAATATTGGTTTGATGATGATGGGATGCTTCTGCAGGCTGTTCGTCGGGACGTGGAACGTGGGAGGGCGAGCCCCGCATGGGGAGCTCCTCCTGAGAGATTGGCTGATGAGCTCGCCTTCTTCCCCCGACATCTTTGTCATCGGGTATGCTTCTTCTCCATGCTTGCTTACCCCCACCCCTCCTCTGTTGCTCTCCCCTTTCCCCTTGGATTATTGGCGTAGAAATACCTGCATACTGACACTTGGTGGCGAACAGGTTCCAGGAAATCGTCCGCTTGAACGCCGGGAACGTGCTGGGGGCAGAGGACAGTGGCCCCGCTCGCAGGTGGCTGTCCCTCATTCGCCAGGCATTGAACTGCCACGAGCCGGGCCCGCCACCCGCCACCAGCACCGTGACCGCCGCCGGAATCCCCTCGCTGGTGGACCAGAAGCCCAGACTCAGCATCTCCGATCTCTTATGCTTGGAAGTTGAAGACGACGAAGCCGACGCCGCGAGGAGCACGAATCCGTACTCCGGCGGGGAGTACCGTCTCGCGGCGAGCAAGCAGATGGTGGGCGTCTTCCTGTGCGTGTGGGTGCGAGCCAGCCTCGTGCGACATGTCGCCGACATTAAGGTCTCCTGTGTCGGGAGGGGCATCATGGGCTACATGGGAAACAAGGTTCGTCCGCGCGCGTCCCTAAGTTGAGCTCCGCATTCGTTTGTCGAACGATTCCTACCGTGGTTGCTTGCAGGGATCGGTGTCGATCAGTATGACGGTCCAGCGGACGACGTTCTGCTTCGTCTGCACGCATTTGGCGTCCGGAGAGAGAGACGGCGACGAAGTCCGGAGGAACTCAGACGTTGCGGAGATCACGAAGAGGACCCGATTTACTGGATGCTCACCGGAGACGATTCTGGAGCACGAGTAAGCATCAAAGCCGATAAACTAACTTCGTGATTCTACGATTACTAAAGGAACGATGCCTCGACCCGCACTGCAGTAAGATCGTATGGCTGGGAGATCTCAATTACCGGCTAGCTGCCACCTTCGGCGACACCCATGAACTGTTGCAGAAGAAAGACTGGCGATCGTTGCTGGGGAAGGATCAGGTTGGGAATACTGGCTAAGCTTCGATTTCTTAGACACTGCACGAACACTAATCCGGGCAAGCCCTGCAGCTCCGGATCGAACAGAGAGCCGGCCGTGCCTTCGCTGGTTGGGAGGAAGGGCAGATACGTTTCCCGCCGACGTACAAATACCTCGCCAATTCCGATGTTTATGCAGTCAAGCCCGGCAAACCCAGGCGAACGCCAGCTTGGTAAGGTCTACTCCCCGATCTCGCGTCGTTGTTTATGGCGTGCGAGATCCAGTTCTAACGTCGTGGATCGGACATATGTGGCGATAGGTGCGACCGAATCCTGTGGCGAGGGAAAGGAATGAAGCAAATGTGGTACGTCAGAGGCGAGTCGCAGTTCTCCGACCACCGCCCTGTCTACTCCCTCTTCTCCGTGCAAGTAGACGACGAAGCAAGAAGCGGCGATGTTGGAACGACAGCCACTGTCACGGCAGCAAAGAGTTCCAGCAACAGCAGCTCATCATCTTCATCATGGGGGAGGGTGCAGGCCGAAGAGCTGCTCCTCTTTACAGGAACACAAGGCCGTCGTCTGCAAGCCGCCAGATATTGACACACGTAGTCGAACTTAAGCTCTCATTCATTATTTCTTCGTCCACCAAACCAACCACAAGAAACAGCGACAGCAGGTGGAGTCGCTCCCACGCAGCTGCAGCGGCGTGCAGTGTATCGATTCCGTAAGGCAAACATCCGCGAGCGGGACGCTTAGTGGAAGACAAAGCGGTGGCGTTGCAGCTTTGGTAGCTCTTCTAAGTATTGTGGTAACCAAACCGAGGAGAAAACAGGATAATGATTGGGTGCGCTGCAAGCAGAAAAAATGGTAGAGAATAAGCTCGATTAATAGCAACAGTGGAAGGGTTGCTTTGTAACATGGAGATCAAATCGAGTTTGTGGGAATGTTTCAATCCGATTTGAGGAGCGTTGATAGCCAATTTAAGAAAGAAAGTGATTATATAATCCTTTCTCAAATCAAATAATAATAACGAGATTCTATAATTTTAATATTAAATTAAATAAAAATAAGATTAAAAAAACACGTAATATCTTGAAATATTATATACTATTATAATATCTTATAATAAAAAAAACACTTATAATATCTTGAACTATTATATACTATTCTTGGATTTGTTATATATTTATAAAAAAATAAAAAAATTCAAGAGACTTATACTATATCTTGAACTATTTATATTATAATAAATAATATAAAATAATAAATAATATCTTGAACTATTATATACTATAATAATAACTATTATATACTACATATAATAACTATTATATACTATAAGATAAAAATAATAACTATTATATACTATTATATAATAACAATTATATACTATTATATAATAATTATATGATGAAAATATTTATAAAATATTATATTATTATATTTTGAGAAAAAGAGTCTCTTGATTTAAATTATTATTTTATAT